ATGAAAGTCACCCCAGCCTACCTACCACCCAAAGATAATCAGCACTGGCACTCTAGTTTATATGCTTTCAGTAAATTAATAAATGTATGTGTGTTATAGATGAATATGTGTACATTTATTTTAAAATTAGAATCATGCTGTATGTGTGTGTTTAACTGAATCTTGCTTTTACAGTTAATGGTGTCTCAAAATTGTCAGGTCATTGAAGATACTTCTACCACATGATTTGTAAAGGGTGGAGGGTTTTGCTAGTGTGGATATGTCATAATTGATTTCAGCAGCCCTCTATGGTTGGATACTAAAAATGTTTGAAATTCTTGGTTAATTTTCTATTGATTTGAAATGAATGTGAGGATTTTTTTAAAGTTGTTTTTAAGACAGTTTATTAGATTTGCTCATATCCTGTATTTCCAAGTTATCAGTCTTAAGGTATGATAGACATGATGAAAGTTGGTTATTTAATAGCCAGCAAGTTATATATATTTGTGTTGAGAGTGTATAAAGATTAGGGAAAATTGACCAATAGCAGGAATCTTCTTTTTTTTCTCTCTCTCTAGCTTCCTTTTGAATGTCACTCCTACCTCTTTCCCTGAAGCTCCAAAGCTCTTGGGCAGAATGTCAGAGTATACATGCATTTGTTTTCCATTATGTCTGTAACCTTTCACATAGAATGCCTTTCAATTAGTATAAATAGACATTGAATGAATAAATGCTAGCTTCTATTGACCATTCACAGCTCTAGCACTCAAGAAGCTTATTTGTCTAGTAAAGAAGAGAAAAATACAGAGCGATGAACTCTGAGTTCTCATGATCATGGAAGTCTATGTATTTACAAGGATCACTGCTTTGAAATTTGTTTTCCTTGATTATCTTATTCTTACACAGTGCAGCAAGTTGGCTTACTTTTGGCTCTGTCCTTGATATTTTTATTAAACACTTACTAATCTGAGACATGTTTCTCAAACACATATTTTTGTTCTTCCATTAAATCTGACAATACATGATTAGCACTCCAAGAAGTTTCTCGGTTGTGTTGTTATTTGGTTCTCTTGGATTCTTTTATTTAAATAGCCTTTAAAACTTCTTGCTGCATAATTCCTGGAGAAGTTAGGACTAAATGATGCCATTTTTTTTTTTTCTTTGACAGTGGACTTTTCTTCCAAACTCTTTGTCACTTCTTGTGAATTCTGTATGAAACCTGTTTTTGTTTAAAAAGAGAGAATGACTATTTTTTTTTTTCTGTTTCTTGACCTATCCCATTCCTAGAATGGGTATCCTAATGAGGATTATTTCTTCACGAGCAATTGAAACAGATTGTCCTACTTTTGCCCTGCCGCTTAATGGAATGCAGATTTTCTCTTTGGAAAGTTCTAGGTCACTGATATTTCAGACCCAAAATGAAATACAAATTGTTATGCCACCTGTGTTTTAAAGTTCATTTTTGGTCTTTAGTAGCTGTAGAAAGTTCCTGGATTGGTGATAACTAGAAGAGTTGCTTTGGACTGATGAAAACCACTCAAGTATATCTACATCGTTATCAGCACCTATAAGAGATGAAGTGACATAGGTTATAGGCTAATTAGAATAGCTATTACAACTTACATAGTGCTTTATCGTTTTAAAAAAATAATAAATTTTTAAATATAATTATGAATAATTACTAATTATTTCACCTGCATAGAGCAGTAAAGGTAAATGGCTTAATGGTTTGAAGAACCAGAAGAAACTGTTAGCTAGAGTTTAGTGAGTTCGTTGGAGAGATGAAGTAGATTATTCTGAAGAGGAAGGCAGAGATGGATCACTTAGCAATTGTGATAGCTAGTTCTAGACTTTTTCTGCTGCCGAAAGTCCAGCGAAGTGCTGAGTTTGTCATCTCTAAACTCTACCCACCTGCTCCCTTGCAATGGAACAATCAGTTGTGTTATGTGCTTGGACTCTGATAAGTAAGCACTGTGCTAGTCTCTTAGGATGGCCCTCAATGAAATATGCCTTCTCTTAGTCACGCTCTTTCACATTATATCTATATTACTCTGTTTAAACTGATATAGTGCACCAGAAGTGACGCTGTGTCTCTTCCAGGCAAAACAGTGTGACAGCTTTTGTTTCTTGACATGTTGGGAGCATTAAGCTATCACGTAAGAAGTGCAGCTATTCTGTTGGTGTAACCATGTTGAAAAACTACTTGGAGAGGAAGCAGCACTGAGAATACATGGGGAAAGAGAGGCCCTACCACTGTAATATCCCAGCTAAGCCCACCCTTTATCACCAATGTGTTAAACATGTGAATAGAGCCAGCTTGGATGTTCTGGCTCCAACCACCAAATGCATGCAATATTATGACTAGTGATGAGTGAGACCAAAAGAAAAAAATATTTAAATGTCCCTCAAGATGATTTTGCCAAAAAAAAAAAAAAAAAAAAAAAAAAAGAATAAAATGAATGTTGTTTTAAGCCACTAAGTTTTAGGGTGGTTTTTTATGTAGTAATAGGTAAATAGGACAGGCAGCTAGGAGACATTTTGAGTGGTAACTGTTTGATTCTGTGGAAGTTATAAAGTTAGCTCAAAGAAATGCACAAAATTTTTGCTGTCAATCTCAAAGTCAGGTGCAGGAGACAGACATTCAAACAGTTGCCATAGCATAAATGGTACCTTTAATTTTGCAATTGCTTTTGCACTCAACAGTCTTTCCTATGAAGGCATACAGATTTTCTTCTTCTTTTTGATTATAGTATTTCATAGCATATGTGTAATCTAGTTTACTTAACAGTTCCCACTATTGATGGACATTTTCATTCTTTTGTGTCTTATTTTTCAGTATTGCAAATAATGGTGCACAAATGTGAATTTCTCTAGGAAAATTTAAACTTGTTTCCATAATAAGTGTACCAATTTTACTACTGCCATGCTGTCCATACATTCTGTAGTAGCTCTTACACAATCGAGACAGGTCATATTTAGTATTCAAATAGGAAAGCTGCTCATATGCTCTATGGGAGGTAATATATATTAGCAGCAAACAAATTCGAGAGCTAGTGAAAACGGCTTTAGAACATTTCTAATTTGTTTGGATAGTTTTACTAAAGGAGGAAAAAAGTCCCCACCACATTCTCACACATCTAAATTTATCATTGCCAGTTCTTTGCTCATAGGAAATTAGGAATGGATCAACTATTGTATCATAAATACAAAACTAGTATTCAACAAATGGCAGAAATGAGTTTCACTTAAAACTCTTTAGTACATCAGTAGAGACAAGATGGCAAAGACTGGTGTTAGGAATATAGGCTTTGGAGTCATAGAGACCAGGGTTTAAATCCTAGCTTGGCCACCTCATAGTAGTAGTTGATAGTCATCTGCAAATGGGGTCAAAATTGTCTGTGAAATAGAGTGGTTGTAAAAAGTGCCTATAATTTGGCATCTAAATAAATGTTATTTTTTTCTCCATTCCTCTAGGAAGTATATAAACTCTTGTTACTAATTTTTACTGTTACTTTGTTCATATATGCAAAGGATGTAAAATGACCTCTTATATTTTCATTTATTTTGAAAACCAATTTGGAGCATATTGTAGAGTGAGAATACAGTAGACGCTTCTAATGACTGCATGAAATAATACCACCTGTTGTATTTTGCATCTATTATTTTATTTGAATTTTGGGAGTAAGAATGGAAGTTAATACTTTAATTTTATTGATGTGGGTTCAGAAAGAACATAGTTTGGAAATCGAGTATTAAGGTTGGAACTCTGGTCTTCTGGCTCCTACCCTCACAGTCTTTTCTGTAGGTCACATTGCCTGATCTTCTTTTGGTTTCCTTGTGACCGTCTCAATGTTGCTAGCATATTTGTCTATTATTCCACCAGAACCAATAAAATATTTAGTTTCTGCTTTTTGTAATCATTCTACGCACTTATTAATAACTTGTTATACATTTTCATATAGAAATTACCTCAGGTAAAAGGAAATCATTATTGGAAGAACGCTAAATTGATATTTACTTTTTTTATTACAATGAATTTCAGACTTTTTGTATGACATTAGTGTTTTTATTTCTGAAATAGTGTGACCACATAGTTGTGATGAGAGTTGAGGAAGAGAATGAAGATTGATAGTGAAGATTTTTAGTTCTGGAAGAGAGATAAAATTGGTGGCAGTATTTGCTGTCCTTATAAGAATGCTGTCATGATATGGAAAATGCAGCCGTAGAAACTGATATAGATAAGCTACTGTGTAAAGCTTTGATGTCCAGTTTTGCTTTATACTGTCAATTTGTTTAGAAGGAATGAGACGGGTGTTGATTTTTAACATTACAAAAGGTATGATACTAAAAATTAAGACCTCAGAACATGATTTTAATTTGAGGACTTTGGAACTTACCTGGAATTCTCTATGGATTTGAAGAGTCCATTTATAAATCTATGGATTTATAAAACTAAGGGTAGATTGGTACATAAGACCTCACAGGACTCTACCAACTGCTACTCTAGAAAGTTGAAGTCTTTTATCGCCTAAAATTAAAGTTTCCTAAAATTAAAGCATACATGCATATGTGTGAGCTTAAACCTTAGAATATTAAATGTATAAACCCAGAAAAATGCCTTATTACCTGTAATTGTCATTTTTCATGTTGCTTAGATACATTGAAAGATGGGAAGAAAAGAGAAAAAGTGATTTATTTCCCATTCATGAAATTATTGTTATTATAATTCCATCCCTTTGTAATAGTTAAAATATAAGAAATATAGAACATGGAGATAATTTCAAGAACAACTTCATTATTCTTTAGTTTGTCAAAATAGGGCAAATTGTAGACCTTTTTTAAAAAAATTAATTGTTTTTCTTTAAAAAAAAATGTCTCTTGTCAAGTTTCTTAGTTGCATATGGCTTCTAATGTGTATAGGAAAGTATCATATGTGAAGCTGATATTGCCCTTCTGGCATTCTTGGTCCTTCTTTCTACTAGATCTACATTAAAATTTTTGTCGTTGTGTTTATTCTGCAGCTCACCAAAGCTCATCGACAAGGACACATGGTGAAAGTAGATTGGCTGGACAGATTGACGTTTAGAGAAATAGAAATGATAAATGAGGTGGGTTTTATCCCTCTTTTTTACTTTAAAATATTTTCCATAAATTTTTAAATTAACAATTTTTTTAATAAGAATTGTTTATTGTTAGGTATCTCACAAATGTGGGATTATCAGGGTTAACCCCTGCAGCTGCGAATTTCTATGTTAATAACTGGAAAATTTGGGATATCTGTCTTCCCTGTGTTTTGACATAATGTCAAACCATGAAGTAGGTAGTAGATACTCTAAGATGTTCTAAATATTGTAAGAATGAAGCCTATGCAGGCTTAATGCCTCAGTGATGTGTTCTCTGTCATATCAGCTCATGTTCAAGTCAATGTTAGATAAATCTTCCATCACGCAGTGCTAACTTTTCACTTCAGTTACCATAAATAATTTCGGCAAGTTTTCTCTTCAATTAATTTATTGTTTTTCTATGTATTACATATAGGACTCTGCACCCTCTATAAAATTACATGATATAAGTGATATTTTTCTTGACCTTGTATATGAGCCAGTGTGTATGTTTAAATAAAGATGGCTTCAATGAGAGTCCTGCCAAAAGTTACAAGAAAAGTTTCCTTTTTTGTATATTTCCCCTAAAATACCAGGTGTTAGGCCCAATATTCCATACCTAGAGAACAGAAATAATAATTATATTAATCAAATTAGGAGAGAAGACAATCAGTTCGTGATTTGTCTGATTTATAATGACCACAAGGCACAACTCATTTAATTTATATTCTCCAAATAATTTTCAGCATGTAGAGAGAAGTTTTTAATTTTACTGTCAACTATTATAAAAATTAGATTTTTGTATTATTCTTTTTTTTAATGAAGGTAGTGATGTTTAACAACATTTACATTCAATTGTAGTTTTTGATATCTTTTCTAAATTTATTCATAATATATTCTTATATACTTAAACTGGGAAAAAGGCTTACTTTTTTTATTTTTGTAATAGTCACATTTCAAAAAGTGATTACTCATAATACTAATATTCTTCTTTTCTTAAACTTATATATCACTGGGTGTAGAAAATGTGTTAGAGTTTACTTTGCTCAGCCTTTTTCATATTTTAATTTCTTTAAAAGAAATTACCATTACCATTACCACACCCATACCATTACCACAACAGACTATAACATGTTCACAAAGCTAAAGAATTTAAGTAACCTCCTCAGACCTTTATTATTTATTTATTTATTTATTTATTTATTTTTTAGACAGGTTCTGGCTCTGTCACCCAGGCTGGAGTACACTGCTGTGCTCACTGCAGCCCCAAACTTCTGGACTCAGGCAGTTCTGCTTCCTCAGCTTCCCAAGTTGCTAGGACTATAGGCCTGGCTAATGTTTTTAAACTTTTTTGTAGAGTCAAGGTCTGGCTGTGTTGCCCAGGATAGTCTGAAGCTCCTGGCTTCAAGCAGTCCTCCCAACTGTGCCTCCCAAAGTGTTAGGATTACAGGTGTGAGCCACCATACCTGGCAATTTTACCTGTTAGATCTAAAGCCATTGATAATGTTGTTTTGGGTCAAGGCTCATTACCCCTTTAGACTTCATTGTATTTTCACTTCATCATCACCCTGGTATAGTCATTTGCCTTATCATGTCTTTTTGATCAACCACAGATCACGTGTACAATGGTGGTTCCATAAGATTATAGTACCTTATTTTTCCTGTACCTTTTCTCTTAGATATGTTTAGATAGATACTTACTATTGTATTACACTTGCCCACAGTATTCAGTACAGTAACCTGCAATACAAGTTTGTACCCTAGGGGTAATAGGCCATACCATATAACCTAGGTGTGCAGTAGGCTATACCATCTAGATCTGTGTTTATACATTCTATGAAGTTCACATGACTAAATTGCCTAGTGGTGCATTCTTCAGAATGTGTACCTATTGTTAAGTGACATGTGACCATGTTTGCTTTTTTATTTAAGGTGACAACAATTATATAAAGAACTTTTTTTTTTTTTTTTAATGTTGGGACAAGAAGTAATTATTCCACAGTATATTTAAAGTGTGGATAAAAAATTACAAATGACAAATCATTTTAAGAACATTTATAAATTATGAAAAACTTGTAAAGGCTATACTTAGTAAAGTCAAATGGCCTCTGTTCTTAGGTTGCACACTTTTTTTTTTTTAATTTGATTTTTGTTAGACATACTGATTTCTATAGGTTGTTTAGTCATATAGGTTAAGGGTGAACTTTGCTTAAAATTGTTAGAAGGACAAACCATTCTTTTTATTTTCGAAATAAAATAGTTCTCATGCACATGTGCAAAATACCTTCAAGATTATAAAATCCAAACTACTGAATAAACCAAAAGTGTTAAATTTGAGAAAGCAACTATAAGTGCATAGTAGACACTACTGAATAAACAGTAGTGTTGTCTATAATAAAATGATAGTGATGAGTAAACACTACATGTATATAATAAAAAAAATGTTATATTTTGACTTGGATTTGATAGATACATCTATTACTGAATTGGGAAAAATGATACATACTGATCCCTTAAGAGAATGCTGAAAATCATTTTTCATGAAAATCGTTTTTTTTCTTTTTCAGAGTGAAAAACGAAGTTCTAATTTCATGTACCTGATGGTTGAGTTTCGATGCGTCAAGTGTGATGATAAGGAATATGGTATTGTTTATTATGAAAAGGTATTTGCCTTGGAACTGTTTTTGGTCTCTGAAGTATAGGGGAGGGGAAACATTAAAAAAATATTACTGTTGATCCTGCTGGGATGAATTATTTGGTTGCAGGGTAGCAGCAGACAGCTGTCAGCAGCAGCTGTTTATGTATACACAAATCAAATCATATAGCAACAACAAGATTACAAAAGCCAATCACTCATGTAATGCAGTTCTGGGTCACAGAATTCGATAAGTATGCAAGTGATTAAAAACTTTGTGATTAATTGTTCTACAAATTGACAAGTAGGACACTAAGCATTGGCTTTATTTACTATTATTGTTTGTTTAAAGAATGAAAAGAGGAAATTTTATTTTTAAGTGGTAGGCTGTTTATTGAAAGTTAAGAGTCTGTTATTTGAGTGCATATGTAATGTCTTTATGTGGCCCTCACTTAAGTATACTTATGAAATACTTCAGAAATGTCTTATTTATTTGTACAATGCATGCAAAATTAAGACCACAGTTTTACCATCAGGCTGAGTAATAACAAATATGCAGTTATAGATTTGCTGTATTCTGCCCATTATGCTAAAGAAAGTAGTTCTGTGTTTAGTATGTACCTACCTGAAAGTATCTTTCTTTAAGTACTACATAAATAATTGTATGCAGGCCAGGTGCCATGGCTCATGCCTGTAATCCCAGCCCTTTGGTTGGCCATGTGGGAAGATTAGTTTAGCCAAGGAGTTTGATACCCAACTGGGCAACATGGTGAGACTCCATGTTTATTTAAAATGAGTATAAAAAATTCAAAAATTGTATGCATAGTTTGAAACCACGTAAATCAAATGTCTTCTATTATTGTGTTAATAGTCGACAAATGTTTAAACCACAATAAATGATGACAGACTTTTGGTACATAGCATAGTAGTAGATTAGTATTTCTTCTAGCATATGACCAAGCTTATATGCAGTGTCTTTGTTTATTAGAAGCAGTTCTTTTAAATTATATTTACACTTTATTGTTGTTTATTAAAGCTATAGCAAGTGATGTTAAAAATATATATACTTTTATAAATTACTATTTGAATGGCTCCATAATGAAGGTTTGAGTTTTTACAGTTTATGATCCTTTTTCAAGTTACTGTTCATATTTTTGTCTTTAGCTTAACTCTCTTTCATGTTAGTGAAAGAATAGGAAATGTTAACTTGTTTCTGCCTTTTATTTTATAAATGGTATTCCGTGGATAGATTCTTTAACATTGTTTATTAATTTATTTAAAAAAATCAAAAAAGGGAAGTGTGAGTGAAACTGTTCTGTCACCAGTACATTTTAATAAAAGCATATTTTACATTTTACATTTTATACGACATGTCATTTCATTAAAAGCAGTATTTTCTGCCCATTTAGAGTTTATATTGCAAAGACATGCTAATGGAGATGGTACTTTCAAACATTGGAGATGTGAAGGATCTTTTGAAAGACAGCTTTGATAGCAGATGAAATAATAACAGAATAGAAATTAGAAGAATTTTAAGTATTTTTGAAAAGGTCCTTGACCCCTTTCTACTGCTTCCTGAAAATTGTTCATAAATTAATGCCTGTCTACCCACCTTGTCATATTTCTACTTAGTGTAGAGATTGCTGGGCCAGTGTATTGAATCTAATGGAAATAGACTTTCTTGTCACCTGTCTTTTGTGACAGATAGCCTTAGTGAAGATTACTTGTCACAGTTTGGCTGATAAATGTGTTTTCTGGTGTTGTGACTGAGAACGAGCCTGTTAAACAACGGCTGTGGGAATTTGTGGTTTTCTGTAAGACTCAATTACTGAACTGAAGTAAAGTCACAGTGCTTCCCCGCTTTCAGTCTCTCCTGAGTTAGTTGCCCATATTTAAAATTAAAAATACACTAGCATTTGGAAGTTGACAGAAAAGCTTGATGCTAGATATACATACAATCATGAGAACGTTAATTTTGATTTTAGTTTTTAGCCTTTTACCAGTATGTTTGGCAGTGACATTTTTATTTTGAATTACCTTTCTTGCTTGCATTGGATAAAAATAAAAGCCAACATTCTTCAAAAATGAGAATACCAACAAAATAAGACTTTATTTCTGAAAAATTGATTAATTGATTTTATTATTCAAGTTTAGATTATGTTGTGTAGGTGCTCCTTTGAGCAACAAAGTTGTTGATTTTCTATCTGTGTATACATTTCAGTAACATTAACCCTACACTTAAAATTCTGCTCCTTTGAATGGATCTCAGTCATGTTACCTAGAAAAATTACCAACATCCACTTAGTTTTGCAAGTAGTGCAGCACATCCATTGTGCCATATTTTATGTATAGTCTGTGGTTTCTTGTTCTGAGTTTGAAAATTAGCATATTTAAAAAAAACCCACTGTCATAGTATGAATAAAATTAAATTAAAAAAAAAAAACCCAAACCATCTAATTTCCAGACCTCATATCTCTAAAACTGTAGTAAAAATTTTGTTAAGAGTTTTTCTCAAAATAATTTCATCATCAACCAAAGAGAGGTAGGTACAAAGTGGATATGCATTTTATAACATAGTTGGAAGAAAATAAGGATTTCTTTAAAGGGAAGAATGATGTTCATCAATTAGAATTAAAATACATTGGTGTGTATATCATATACCGTTTCCTATTGTATTAAATTTCTTTTTTTTAATTATTGCTCTATAATCTAGGACGGTGATGAGTCTTCTCCAATTTTAACAAGTTTTGAATTAGTGAAAGTTCCTGACCCCCAGATGTCTATGGTAAGTTATTGTGCAATTTTTTTTTTATGAAAGTATTTTTCTTCAGGGTAATTGTGAGTTAGCCACATCATGTACTTTCTTTAAACAAAGTAATATGTAACTGCCTCTGTTAACTAAAAGTGATTCATAAATTCACTTCAGCTATCTAAAGTCTGTTTCTGATGGAATTTTATAAGGAATATTGACATCCTAAAACTAAGGTTAAGGGTAGTGTAGGGTTGGGCATCTACTTTATTTGAATTGCTAGAAGAGCTAGGGAGTGTAGTCTTTTTTTTTTTTTCCCCAGGTTGGGATGTAATCTTGAAGTGAAGACTTTGTGGAACTGGTATTTGAAAGATTGTCATCATGCAGAAGGAAATTTTGCATGTTAACTAGGATGAATGCATGAAAAATTTAGGGAGACCAATTTTGTTAAAAAACAGGGAAGATCGCTGCATCCCTAGAACTATTCAGTTTGGAACATGTTATCTTGGATGATGGTGGCATACCTTTTTATGACTGAATTTTCGAGATGATAGCTTTCTCTCAGGGATATGAGGATAAGAATTCACACAGTGTAAAAGAGGTTTAGTTAGATGACTTTAGAATTACAAACTTCTAGGCACAAAATCCTTTTAGCAATACAATAGATATGATGATTTTCACAGTTACAGCTCATTTACATCATTCCAACTCTTTTTATCTAATTTTATACATTTCTAATTAGATTACTTTCCTCATCAGACCAAAGTGGATTGATGAAAAGTGGCACATTGGATGATGAAAACATGATGATTGAGATAAGAACAGGTCATTAAAGCAGGACATGTAATGGCTGATGGCCTAATATCAAAGGAAGAGATGTGAGGGAAAGTAGAGAATAAAAAGTTGAAAAAAGGCCACTTGAGGATCTGCTGGAATACTCTAAAGACCTTTATAGTTCTTATGCATAGAACCCAGTTAATGTATCTAAAATTGGCACTTAATCTTCAGTACAAAATCAAATTACATTTTACATTCTGATATTCAAAGCATACACTAAGTATGAAAATTACATGACTTTGAAGATAAAGCAGAGTCCTGTGGAAAGAAAAAAAAAAAAAGGAAATTACATGACTAAAGACACCAACAAAGCCAAAAGACAGTTAACAAACTGGGAGAAAATAATTACATAATTTAAAGATATATTAGGGCTGATATATAAAGAACTCTTAGAAATGAAGGACAAAGGACCTTAAAGCTAATAAAAATTAGGAATATGACATAAACAGACAGTTTACACATGCACTACAAAATAAATAATATAAATTTATATGTTGTTTTAGGCAATGACAGTGTGGTTAAAACTAATATTTTATTTTATGGGTAAAATAATCAACACTGGATGTGTACATTCAAGTGTTGTGATCATTTTCCTTGCCCTCAGTGACTGACAGCTTAAATAACTGCTAAGATGATAATACAGTGACATCACAAGGTCATTGGTAGCTGATAGGAGGATGAAAAGCTTTAGTCTATGTTTTCAGGGAAGATTTTATAGTGATGGTGATATTTGATTAGAAGATGTGGGAACCTTGAATATGTGGAGAGTAAGGGGAAGATGTTTTAAGAAGCTGGAATGACGTGTGTATATTACGGGACTAGTGGAATTTAAGGCATACTTAGTTTTCCAGTCTTTAAGAGGATACATATTTTTAAGGGATGTAGAAGACTGCTAAAGTTGTATCAGAATAAAGCATTCAATATTATTAAATCCTCTCAAGTACTTTTTCTATTTATGAATAGTTGTCGAAGTTTCCTTTTGGTGAAGTTTACATTGTCAATATTTTAAATTAATTTATAGGAGAATTTAGTTGAGAGCAAACACCACAAGCTTGCCCGAAGTTTAAGAAGTGGACCTTCTGACCATGATCTCAAACCCAATGCTGCCACAAGAGATCAGTTAAATGTAAGAGAATTTTTGAAATACTGATTTTAAAAAAGTTAAATGGGTATTTTGGTTGAAACTGATAGCTATCACCTCACTTAAAAATTATTTAGATGCCCGTGTTCTCCAGGTTGATGAATCTTATAATCATGTTAATAATTTGATGTATCAGCAGTTTTATTATCATTTTGGGCTTTCCATAAATTTATTAGCTCTGGAGACAGAACTGCAAGTACTTATATGCTTTCATGACATAGTATTATTCTTAGAAGCGGGCCTTAAGACATTGCCTGAGAGAGAACTTACTGTGCATACATGCCTTGTTGTATGCATTGAGTTGAAAAGAGTTTATTGTGTGCACATTTTTCCTTTTTCTGGTAGGGGACATTGTTATTTTGCTATGTTTTGTTTCTGGTTGAATTAAATGAACTCTTCAGTTAAATGTTTTTCTATGGAAAATGGCCTTCTCCTCTTTTCTTCTCCTTTAAACTGCTTTTTTTGGACACATAATTACAACAAGCTTAAGGCCTTCTTGACTGGATTTACATTTTCCTTGCTTGTATAATAATTTTAATCTAAAGTTATAATTGAAAAATTAAGTGAAATGGAAATATTTAGGAAGTATATAGTTGACAAAATTAGTTCTTTTTCTTTCTTTTTTTTAGATTATTGTGAGTTATCCACCAACCAAGCAACTTACATATGAAGAACAAGATCTTGTTTGGAAGTTTAGATATTATCTTACGAATCAAGAAAAAGTGAGTGTCTTGAATATTTGCATATGTCAAATTTATCTACCAACTTTGTTATTAATAAGGTGAAGAGACTGCCATGGAAATAGTTAGTCACTTTAAAGAAAAGTAACAGAGCAGTATATATGATATTTCATTTAAAAAATTATAAAAGTTTTCACACAAACATGCATGTACCTGTTTGTTGACATATAGACAATGTCTGAATGGGTTTTGAAGTTAGAGAGATTTCGGCTCAGTTTCCAAAAGTATGTCTTAAACTTGTTTGGTAGGATGAGGCAACTTACTTTGATAGCTTGGTGTCTTTATTATTCTAATAGAGACAATTCTCCTTCACAAGTAAGGTAATATAGATAAATAACGTGGTAGAGTACCTGGTACATAGTAGGTGCAGAGTAAATGCTGGTTCTCTTCTTCCTCCTACCTCTTTGAACTTGGGTGACTAGGAGAAAATGTATGCGGTTATAAGAACAAAGCTACAGAATTCTGGACAAAATGTGGCTGGAGAGAGAGTATGAGAAATATAATTTGAGATGTGGGAATTCAGTTGGTAGAATAGCATACAGGCTGGCATGGAGGATAAAGGATAGGTCAAAGTTAGAAATTTGCTTCCTGTAATAAAACCATGGAGTGGATAGGGTTTCTGGAGAGAGAATTGTGGTGAAGTAGTCATCACTAACCTGTAGGCTGTGGACACTTAATTTTGAGTGTTACTATTGCTCCTAAAAAGCTTTTTGACTACAGGCAAATTAGTTTGCCTGTGTAAGCTTTCATTTCTTCATACTGAATATAAGACATTCATGTGATTATGAGCTTTGTCTCTTCTAGTTTTTAAAATTGTCTGTAAAATCTTAAAGCAGAGCCAAGGATTACCTCTTAAAGTATAATAATAGTATTCACAATGTTTTAAAACAGATACTATGTCCCAGGAATTATTTAAATTCCATGACAACGCCACAATGTATATATTATTGTGACTGTTCTTCAGATGAGGAAACTTGAGCCCAAGAGAGATTAGGGGACCTGTGCAGACTCACAGAGCTCGTACATGCTGCCTCTCAATATACTTGCGTCTATGAATTAGAAGAAAAGGAAGTCAGTGAAGACATAGAAAAGAGAATTATAGAGAAAACATTTTCAACATCATGCACATGCCATAGCAGGAATCCTGAAATGCATTAGGGGAAGAGCAGGGAAGCGTTAGGAAAATTAATATCTATCAGGAAGTTGTTACATATTTTTATGAGAATGAATGAAGTGATACGTTTCGTAATCTTGTGATATCTTTAACTACTATTTTAAGTTGTTTTTCTGAACCAAATGTCCTTTCTTTAGTTCGTAAAGATAAAAATCCAGTTACAGCTCATCTTAACTCTTCAGCTTTTCTGCTTTATCATTTATTGATGCCTAAGGAAATTCTTTGTAAATGAATCATATTTATTCTCCTTTATATCCATAATAAGAATGAGAGAAGTATTTTAAATTTGCTATAGCTTTGAGTGTAATTCTCTTAATCACTGAACAAAAAAATATTCACCAACAGAAACACAGGTTTGTGATTTGTGTTTTAGTAAAAGATTGAGTTAGTATCACGATACTGTGTTAAATGAGCAATAACCTTGGTCACAGAAATTGCGTCTTGAATGCAGCTCAGTGTCATCTAAAATACACAGCAAGATATTGAATTGAACCTGTTTGAATGCGTAGGTTTAAGAAGCATAGAGGAGTGGATTTACAGAGCAGACTTTTGGATAGAAAGGTTTGCAAGAAAAATTGTTTGTTTAAACAAGTAGTCACTTCCCACTGAAATTCAATTACTTCTAGATATGTGCAAAAGAAATAAAATGTTCAAGTGATATAAAGTGTGTGACAAGTTTCATTTAACTAGTTGATTTCAAGTTTTTGAAAGGTGGGTGATGAAACTTCAATTCTCAGGACATATTACAGGATTCTTATGAACACTAGAGTAGAATGAACGATATGTTTTAATGTTCAGGAGTCACTTTTGAGTAAACCAAATATATATAGACCTTGAAGTGACCGAAGGTATTATTCACACAGCCACATTTGTAACCTTGTAATAATTTCAAATGGGTTTTGTGAAAAACAGATACTCTCATGCTCCACCCATTAATTTATTTACAGAAAGAAATTCTTTTAGCATCAAACCTAAATTGTGATTTAGGTTAGTTAACATTTGGGCGGGGCGGGGGGGGGGTTGAAAAGCTTTACTAGAGAGAAGGCAGTGCTCAGAAAACAAATTGGAGGAAATTGGTTCTTACAAAGTTACACTTTTTATGTTTCAATCACATTTTGTCTTTCTACCCTTTTTTTTCCTTAATGACCTGTCTTAAGTATTTCAGATGAAAACCTGCTAGGCAGGACTTGATGTTGCACCCAGAAAGGTCATAGTAATAACTTTGTTCAGTTAAATTTGTTACCATTTAAATTTGGTAAGTATTTTCAGATTCGTAGTTTATAGCAGGTAGGATGTGACTCATTTCTGTGGAAACTGAAATGTGAATATTGTAATCTTTTAAAACTATTTGACAAAAACTAACTAAAATTACTTTTTCAACAAACTAATAGCTTTTACAATGGACTTTTCTTCTTATAAAAATACTAATTTAAATTAACTCCATGCCTTTTTATTATGCTTGGGGGAGTGGGGAAAGCAGGAGAAAGATTCACATATAATGAAGATAATAGTGATGCAGTGAGTATTCTTATAAGACTGTTTCTGAGACAGTGACATGAGGACAATCATTATTTGTGTCTCCTGACAAGAAGTTGATGGTGGCCCATGGCGTCAATGAATTCAATTCAGCAATTATTTATTATCATCTCTTGGCCTAGCATTATATAAGACTATGAGCTTTCAGGTATCATGTCCCTGTATTCATATAAATTAAAATTGTTTTGGGGCAAGGATATTTACATGTAATTAAAATGAAGTATAGTAATTAAGGGTCACTGTCTTAATAAACAGATAGGTCATTAATGTAATAGAAATGTGGAGGGGAACAAGATCAGTGTGCTTATGATATAGGGAAGGTTTCACAGAACAAAGATTGCCCTTAAAGGGTGAGCAGACTTTGATAGCATTTTTTATTTGATGATCATTTTTTATGGGGAAGGAAAGCATGAGTAAGGTAAGCTGTTAGGTTCAGGAGACAGAGAAGTTTTGCATGAATGGTTATGAAATAGAAAAGATGGCATCAGATTGTGATGAGCCTTGAATTCTACCCTTAGGAATTCAATTTTAGTGGCAACAGGAAACGACTAAAGCAGGAAAATGTATATTAACAAGTGATATTTTATTTTATTTTTTTTTTTTTGGAGACAGAGTTTCATTCTTGTCACCCATGCTGAAGCACAATGGCTCAATCTTGCCTTACTGCAACCTCTGCCTCCTGAGTTCATGCAATTCTGCTTCAGCCTCCTGAGTAGCTGGGATTACAGGCATGCATCACCATGCCAGCTAATTTTGTATTATTAGTAGAGATGGGATTTAATCACGTTGATCAGGCTGGGCTTGAACTACTGACCTCAGGTGATTGACCTGCCTCGGCCTCCCAAAGCGCTGGGATTATAAGTGTGAGCTACCACACCTGGCCTAACAAGTGATATACAAGAAGCTCATATACTGACTTAAAGAACAGTTTTGGAGGGTAAGGGATGGAGAAGAAGCTATACAAGCAAGTTAACTTGGAGACTATGCCTAGGAGTTAGGCCTGAGCCTGATGGATTTATATTCGTGTGGGTTCATACTCCACTTCTGGTACCAATTTACTGTATTAGTTCATTTTCATGCTCCTTTTAAAGACATATCTGAGACTGGGAAGAAAAAGAGGTTTAATGGACTTAACAGTTGCATGTATGTATCTGTGGAGGCCTCACAATCATGACAGAAGGCAAGAAGGATCAAGTCATGTCTTACATGGATGGCAGCTTGTGCAAGGAAACTCTCCCTTGTATAACCCGTCAGATCTCATGAGACTTGTTCACTATCACAGGAACAGCATGGGAAAGACCTGCCCACGTGATTCAGTTACCTCCCACTGAGTCCTTCTCACAACATGTTGGAATTGAAGATGAGATTTGGGTGGGGATACAGCCACCCCCTATCAGTAAGGACATTTGGCAGGTGGAAAGAAAATAATAAGATGTTTTCATGTTTGAGTATTTGGAATTGAAAGCATTGGAAAAGCAGCAATTAGAAATATGTATGAGATAAATATAGTATTTTCAGTTCTTACGTGATTGTGATTCTAAGAGCAGGAGATAACAGGTGACTTTCAGATCAGAAGGGAATAAAACATAGTAATAAGTATAGTAAGGTTAACATTTGATGTCAACATCAGAAATAAGAATGAAATAATAACTGACAATTATTTACTATATACAGGGTATTATTACAAACATTTTACATTCATTATTTTAATCTTCACCACAAGCCTATGAGAAAGATCTTTTAAAAGTTAAATAAGGTACTTCAATTTAGTCAGCTAATAATTGATGGAGCCAGCAATTATAATTGAAACCAAAATACCCTGGCTCTGTAGCCTGTGCTCTTCAGTTATCTATGGAATTTCCAGAGAGAGAGAATTGCACTTCAATCCTGTATCTTGACATGGATCAATAAAGCATCTTTGAAAAACCTAGGGTTAAGTATTATTATTAATGCTGTCTTCACGTTCTTACTTTTTGTCTCTCTTATTCTTTGACTCCTTGTTTCCTTCTTCAGTCTACTGACTCCCTGTTTACATTTGTAACATTTAACATTAAAAAGTTGTGAAATTCTTTTGTACAGTGCTTTATGTTCTTTGGCAGCAGCATACTCTATAAATCTTGCTAATAAGTCTATAAATCTGAGAATCCAGGTTTTAGATTGTTTCAGTTATTGAGTACATCGGCATGCTACAAGATTTGCTTATAATAAGTACATACCCACACATTTCTATTAAGACTGCTGATGTACTGTGAAATGGAAAAGCTTTCACTATCATTATTTAAGAAGTATTGCTTTGTTTCCACATTCAACCTAGAAATGCATTTTAGAAGTGGAAAATAAATTCATGGAATAAGTTAGTAGGACAATCTGTGTTCTATACAGAAAGGAGCATTATACTAAATGGTGTGCAGGAGGTGTAGAGGAAATGGACAGCTGTCCTTGGGGGATTCAGACTCCAGTTATAGAGAGAAAAATGCCCACAAAAACATTTGGCGGTTAGAAGAACATCATTTAAATGACAGTAGTAAAATTGAGCCAGCTTCTAAAGGAGTAGCTGAAAGTTGCTGAAAACTTCCTGTGAAACTTGAGTTTTTGACGCTGAAAGTTGCTGAAAACTTCCTGTGAAACTTGAGTTTTTGACAAGATGGCCTTAGAGAAGAGCCCCTGTTTTGATGAAGAGTATGAGGGAGGATTGTACACAGTGGTTAGAGAGCCATTGTTAGTATAAGTTAACTGGGCTGAAGCATGGAAGGGCAATGAGAGTTTAATGAAACAGGCTTGCATTGTGGTAAGTGGTAGCGATGAAATGTTTTGAGAAAGAAGTTGAGGTTATTTATTTGTTTATTTACAAATGAGAGTATCCCTATCATCTAGTTGAAACCACCTTGTAACAGTATGGCAGTTATCTTCATATATTGGAATGGCTGCCCACATCATATGGGGCTAAATTTACTCTCATTTCTCTCCAAAGAGTGAAACTAACCAATTGGAAGAGGCAATATGAAGACATTTTTTTTGTCTTTTGATTCATTATAGTTAAAAACAAAACCAAACCAAAATAGCTTAGCTTTCTATGAATATAATGGCCAATTTGGAAATTAGTTCCTGGAGTCACTTAAGTAAATACTGGAACTCTATTTTGGCATTAATGTTATGGGGTGTTTCTGCTAACAATGGAAAATTTGTGCTAAGACCACTTCCAACTTGAGCTTCTAAGAGTTTGTGTGAAATGATTAGAAGAGAAGCTGATATTGAGGTTCTTAGCTAGAAGGCTCTGTCCAACTTCAGTTGTGTGATGTAATGAGAATCAGGCTGAGGACAAATATAAGAGATATTGCTAGGAAATAATTGAAAGGGACTGGAATGGATTTAGGAACTTAGTGTTGGCAGAGTGATGGCTCGAAGGGGAATGGGGCTAATTAGGAAATGGAGTGCCTTACTGGTAAGGAATCACCATCTGGTGGAAGAAGCATGGGGCTGAGAATTGGTGGACCTGGCTTCTAGGTCTAGCTCATGCACCATTTTGAGATGATGGGCAAGCCATTTAAGTTTGCTGAGGTTATATACGATTTAAGCATTGAACTAGGCAATCTACATAGCGCCTTTTTTCTTAATTTAGTAAAATCAAGAGTAAGTTAGGGGATGGGTATAAAGGTTCATTTAGTGTTCATTCACAATACTAACCAGAAATTGTGGTTTGTTGTCCAAGTAGACGTTTTCTTGAAGACTGGATTAGTTTACTAATAAAAAGATTTTGGTTGGACAGAGCAGGAGTTTTAAATTTTCAAGTTATCTATATTTTTAACAGATAACAACAGAGGAAGACAAAGAAGAAAACATCTTGGGTTCAGCTAGGAAAGTGTTGCCTTTGAGACCCAGCAATAAGTGTTGCTTTTTATGGAAAACAAGTAGATACTTTTCTTTATTTTAATTTATTTTTGTGGAGATGGGGTCTTTCTATGTTGCCCAGTCTGGTCTTGAACTCCTGGCCTTAAGCAGTGCCTGAGCATCTCAAAGCTCTGGAATTAGCATGAGCCACCACACCTGGCCAACAAGTGTATACCTTTCTTAAAAGAGCATTTACTGTTTGTGCTATGAATGATATGTTCTAAGACAATCTGCTTAACTACAGCCTTATGAAAACTTCAGTATGCTGCCTATTCAAAGGTGTGAGGTTCTAGAAAGATGCTACAACCAGCCAAATCATAACACTGTTTGCTGCTGTTTCTCCACTTACCCATTTTTATGCTTGTGTTTTGAAGTTTTGTTGGATTGCCTATCTTTTTAAGTAGTTACTTCACAGAGTTGCATACATACTCCAAATTGAGTCTTCCTGTTTAAGTATCTACGAAAGCTAGTGGTCATACTCTAGGGAGGTGATCAAGAGTGAGGCTAGTGGTGGTAATGTCTGCGCTTGCATGGTTTCTGGCCCTTTGATTCAGTGGTTACAGTATTTTCTGTTGTAAAATGTAGGTTGTCTTTAAGGCATCTTAGAGTTTTTGAGAAATGCCTCAACTGTTTCCATGTCTTGAGGTCTGCAGTATTTTAGAATGACAATAGCAAAGTGAAGAAAAGCCAATACAAATTTAAAAAGTCATAGTGCTCTGCAACAGGGAACATGCATTTTTTCTGTCCTGCAGCGCTTCTCTAAGATCATGTATATAACTTCATTTAGGGTTTACACATGGAGTCTATCACTGACTCCATGGCTCTGCCATTAGGACCAAGTGAAACTCTGCCTAGTCACCTTCTGTATCCCAAGAAATAGGCTGTTTCTAATTTTTAAATATTTTCTAATTTTAGGCTTTGACAAAATTCTTGAAATGTGTTAATTGGGATCTACCTCAAGAGGCCAAACAGGCCTTGGAACTTCTGGGAAAATGGAAGCCGATGGATGTAGAGGACTCCTTGGAATTGCTTTCCTCCCATTACACCAATCCAACAGTGAGGCGTTATGCTGTTGCCCGGTTGCGACAGGCCGATGATGAGGTACGTTATTATTATTCAATTTCAATGGGTCATTTTAAACTAGAGCCTAATTATAGACTATGTGTATATGTGTGTGTGAGAGTGAGTGCACGCATATGCAAGAGAGAGATTTTTAGAAGTGAAGAGGATATACTAGGTGTGTTTTCAAAAGGAAAATTAGAATATACCTCAAGGGACTCCTCTGTGAAATGAAAATTTACTTTCTGATCTGTTACGTGATAGGACGGTCTCTCCCAGGACATTTACCTGGCAGCAGAGCTTGTATTGCTCTGTCTGGTAGAAGGAATTCTAGTGAAAAATGGTTTAATGCAGCACCAGCTAGGGAATAATTCAGATCTCCTCTATCAGTCAGTATACAACAAGCCATATTTAATTGTAGCCTCGGAAAGCCCTTGGGGCCTTTAAAGCATAGAGATAGATACATGGTCATCCTACTCTCCTTCAAGCTCGCCTTTTAAACTTTCAGCTGACGACAATTATATGTATATGTAGATTTTCTGAAGCAAAGATTGCCAACTATATGCTGGCTGTTTATATACAGTTATACATCAGTTAATGACAGGGAAGTGTTCTGAGAAATGTTTCCTTAGGGGATTTCATCTTTGTGCAAACATCATGGAGTATACTTACCCATACTATGTAGATGGCATAGCCATCTACAACTGAGGCTATGTACTCCTAAGTTACAAACCTGTACAGCATATTGTTGTACTAAATATAAATACGTACTTCAGGCAATTATAATGCAATGATAAGTATTTGCATACCTAAGCATAGAAAAGGTACAATAAAAAGACACTATTATAATCTTATGGGATTGCTATCATATATGCGGTCTTCTCTTGGCTGACACCTTGTTATGCAGCACATGACTCTACATGTAAGGCCATCAGGGAAGGAGGAACGTTCTTTTGACACAAGGGGATTTGGGGCTTAAATAATTCTTTATGAGATAGACTAATTCAGCATTTTTTTTTTCATAATTTTTATAGGGTGAATATGTTCTTAAATATAATCTAATAGTTTACGCTAGCCAGCAGTACTTTGTGGGATGTGGAGGAATGTCTCAGCTTCAATATATATGGGAATGCTGATCACATAGAACAACTATCATCAAATATGTTTTCAAGAGGAAGGGGACAGTGAGATCATTTTGAATTAGCAGCATCCGAATTTCAATAAGCAAGTGAAATATTTATTAAAGTTGATAATTGTATGTATACCTTTAATTATGGTGAAATTTAAACAGTAAACAGTATAATGAACCCTGACATGCATCTATCCTCAGCAGTTGCCAACTTATAGCCAATCTTGTTTCATCTGTAATAATGATGCTCAGTCTCTCCACCCCAAACCCCTAATCTCCACTAGATTACATCGTTCTGACTTCTGACTGGCTTTAGCAAATCAGGAGGCTCCCACAACCCTCTCCTTGGCTGCGGTAATTTGCCATAATGATTCACAAAACTCAGGGAAACATTATTTACTGCTGTTGATTTATTACGAAGGGTATCCTAAGGATGCAGATGAACAATTAGATGAAGTGACACGTAGGATGAGGCCTTGAGCACAAGAGCTTCTATCCCCTTGGAGTCTGCAGTACAGCACTCTCCTTGTATGTGGGTGCATTCTTCTTCAGCAACCTAAAAGCTCTCAGAATCCTGTGCTTCATTATATTGGCATGATTTATTAAACCACTGGCTGTTGGTGATTAGGTCAATCTTTAGTTCTTCTCTCTGTTCCCTAGAGATTGAGGGGTGGAGCTTAAAGTTCCACTCTCTAATCACATGGCTGACTTTTCTCTCAGCCAGCCCCCATCTCTAGGGCCTTTCCAAAAGTTACCTCATTAACATAAACTCAAATGGGGTTGCAAGTGACTTGTGATGAATAAAAAAAATTTGAGCATGCTATATTTTGGGGTAGCATGGTCCTGAACTCTGTCACTGTAGATCTGCCTTATTCTTTCTATATAACATCGTGGTATTTTACCATGAATTTATTTTTTAATTTACTTAACCAGTGAGCCTCTTGATAGGCAGTTGTTCTTATTCTTTTCCTGTAACTATATTTTAGTGAATGGGTGTGTGGGGGTGGGTAGGTGGGTATGTTTTAAAAATTACATTATTGAATAAATTGCTTTCAATAGAGTTATTGAACCAAATGATATCTGCTTTTTATATTTTGCCTGATAATCCCCTTAAGTCTTCTGTTTTTAGGTTTGTGTCATACTTCTAAACATTGGTTGCCATGTACTACTTAAAATGTATGATTAGACAAATCCTTTCCTCCTTTTTATCAGTTTTATATTTTTTGCATTTATTCTTTCTATGAATTTGAATATTTTTATCATTTTCTTAAAACTGCACCAGAATCTTAAGTAGAATTATGTTATATTCGCGTATTATATAAAAAAGATACCTTTATGATAGTATGTCTTCCCACACAGTGGCATATGATTTTTTTATTCACTCACTTATAAATTTTATAAAAATTATAAACATGCTTATAATTTTGATTTATTCCCTAGTAATTTTATTATTGTTGCTATTATAAACTACCCCACCCCATTTATCTTTTATTTTATTCTATTTTATTTTATTTTATTTTATTTTATTTTTTTAAAGATGGGGTTTCACCATGTTGGTCAGGCTGGTCTTGAACTCCCTAATTCAGGTGATCTGCCTGCCTTGGCCTCCAAAGTGCTTGGATTACAGGCATGAGCCACCATTCCCGGCCTCCCATATATCTTTTATTTACGTTTCTTAGTTAAAAGGAATACTGTTTCTGTTTCAATATTTGTTTTAGCTAGTTACTTTATTGATTTTTCTTATTCTAAAGATGTTAGGTTGCCTCTTATATTTTCTAGGTATAGCATTATGCTAGCTGAAAAGCAGTATATTTTTTCATTACATTAGCTAAAAGCTGCAAGTAATAACGGTGAATAAAAGTAGTTCTATATTTATCTTTATCTTGTTGTTCATTATGGGAATGCTCTTAGTGTTTCACTCTTTTTTTTTTTTTTTTTTGAGACGGAGTTTCACTCTCTTGTTACCCAGGCTGGAGTGCAATGGCGCGGTCTCGGCTCACCGCAACCTCCACCTCCTGGGTTCAGGCAGTTCTCCTGCCTCAGCCTCCTGAGTAGCTGGGATTACAGGCACGCGCCACCATGCCCAGCTAATTTTTTGTATTTTTAGTAGAGATGGGGTTTCACCATGTTGACCGGGATGGTCTCAATCTCTTGACCTCGTGATCCACCCACCTCGGCCTCCCAAAGTGCTGGGATTACAGGCTTGAGCCACTGCGCCTGGCCCTAGTGTTTCACTCTTAACGTGTGTTGCTTGCTGGTTTCAGCCAAATGCTCTCATTTATGTTCAAAGTTTCTCCCCGTCTCTCTTTGTTATCTTGTTCTGTGTGTTTAATTCAAGAATGGCTTTTATATAGTATCAAATACTCTTTTGACACCTGTTCATATCATATGGTCTCTCACTTTTATCAATCTACTCTTAAGTATGCTGATACATTTCCTAATGTTATACCAGCCATACTCTTGTAAAATAAATTTGAATACCTTTCTGAATTTGATTTGTTACTATCTTATTTAAAATTTTTAATGACTGTTCTTTATCTTACATATTTTAGGAATTTTTAAATCATATTTCTCACTGCTGTGTAGTTCAAAAGGAGAGATAGTCCATATTAGAATTTAAGGAAGAAGTAACATTTGAGTTGAAGGAAATGTGGAATTTTTATGTTTGAAGTTTATATTGCAGGTAGAGAAAGCAATGTGAGCAAGAGCAAGGGAGTTGAAAGTACAGGAAGAATGGAAAGTATGTCACTTTGACAGGAGTGTGGGATATATGTAGCCATTGAGAGGCAAAATCAGAACCCATGTCTCTAACTGAAAATGCCTGTTTGGAGAGTTATTCTTAATTCAATAAGAAATGGAAAGTCACTGAGTGATTTTGAAATGTGATTTTGCATTTTCACTTTGAAGCATTAGAATTAACTTGCTCTTGAGAAAAATGATGATCACTATCTAAACAAAATTTCATAGCACTTGGGAAATATTTACAGAAATGCCTAAGATGGAAGCCTGATTTTTTTTTTTTTCTTTTTTGCTTTGTTTTACTCCAATGCTTACGTCCTTCATGCTTGGAAGACTTTTATATTTTTCAAGACGTGACTATATAATGAGAAAACAGACTCTGTACTTATTATTGAAGTTAATTCATTTTCCTACAAATGAAGGAAAGTATAGTTTGAATATAGAATATGAAATGACCAAGAAATCAGATGATGATAAGTGACTTAGAAAAGTTACTTACAGAATTTTTCTTCTGGAGAACTTAATACCTTAGCCTTTTTTATTTTATGTGGTTAACTTTTTTCTGTAATTAGGAAAGCACACAGGTAATAGATTGGGCAGCAGTGGGAATGAAGGCTGGCAGAGAAAGTGAATTACTTACACCTCCAAAGGAGGATACCAGTCATTAAACATTGTTCGATTTTCCGTTACGTAATGCTTTTTTCCTTAGGAAACAACATGTAATTAGATGTACAGTTAGTGGATGCCATGAATCTCAACTAGGATAGTAGAAAATCAGATGTTGCTTCAATTAAAAAGTGGGTTTTAGAAACAACACTATAGAGAGACTTGAGTTCCCTGACTACTGACATTGACATATTTGAATAAGAATTAACAAACCTGTGTTTAATTTATATTTATGGTGAAGTCACATGTCTTACTCTTTGTTAGTGTTTGCCTAATGACCTTTTTAAAAATTATTTAGTGTGAGATATAAATTCTGAACAAAACAGCAATATACAATCATACCTCAGAGATATTACAGGTTTGGTCCAGACCTCTGCAATAAAGCAAACATTATAATAAAGCTAGTCATATGAATTTTTTGGCTTCCAAGTACATATAAAATTTATAAATACAACTTTGCTATATTTTTATATAGTAAATTATACTATAAGTATGTAATAGCATTATGTCTAGAAAAGCAATGCACGTATCTTATTTTAAAATATTACTAAAAAATTTTAACCATCATCTGAGCCTCCAGCAAGTTGTCTTTTTGCTCCTTGAGAATCTTGCTTTGATGTTTGTGGCCACTGAATGATCAGGGTGGTGGTGCAGAAAGTTGGGGTAGCTGTGGGAGTTTCTTAAAATAAAACCGAATGTGAATTTTGACACACCCATTGACTCTTTTTTTCACATAAGATTTGTCAGCAGCATACAATGCTGCTTGTTAGCATTTTATCCACAGTAGAACTTCTTTCAAAATTGAAGTCAGTCCTCTCAAACACTGACACTGCTTTGATAGCTACGTTTATGGAGTATTCTGAATCCTTTGTTGTCCTTTCAACAGCGTTCACAGCGTCTTCACCAAGCGTAGATGACATCTCAAGAAACTACTCTTTGCTGCTTATCCATAAGGAGCAACTATTCATCTGCCCAAGTATTAGCATGACATTGCAGCAGTTCAGTCACATGTTCAGCCTGTACTTTTAATTCTAGTTTTCTTGCTGTTTCTACCACTTCTGCATTTACTTCCTCTACTAATATCTTTTTTGTTGTTGTTGAGATGGAGTCTCCCACTGTCTCCCAGGCTGGAGTGCAGTGGCATATTCTCGGCTCACTGCAACCTCTACCTCCTGGGTTCAAGTGATTCTCCTGCCTCAGCCTCTCAAGTAGCTGAGATTATAGGCATGCACCACTGCACTCACTTGATTTTTGTATTTTTAGTAATGACAGGTTTTCGCCATGTTAGCCAGGCTGGTCTTCAACTCCTGACTTCAGGTGATCCACCCCTCTTAGCCTCCCAAAGTGCTGGGATTACAGACAGTGAAGTCTTGAACCCCTCAAAGTTATCCATGAAGGTTAGAATCAACTTCTTCCAAATTCCTGTTAATGTTGATATTTTGACCTTCCCCTACGAAGCTCAAATGTTCATGACATCTAGAATGGTGAATGCTTTCCAGAAGGTTTTCAATTTATTTTGCCCAGCTCCATCAGGGGAATCACTGTTTATGGAAGCCATGACCTTACAAAATGTATTTCTTAAATAATAAGACTTGAAAGTCGAAATGACTCCTTGATTTATGGGCAGTAGAATGTATATTGTTTTAGCAGGAATGTCAACAACATTCAACTTCTGCATCTCCATCAGAGCTCTTGGGTGACCAGGTGCATTGTCTGTGAGCAGTTATATTTTGAAAGGAATCTTCTTTTATGAACAATGGGTCTCAACAGTGGGCTTAAATATTCATAAACCATGCTGCAAACAGATGTGATGTTATCCAGGCTTTGTTCCTCCAGTTGTAGAGCACAGGCAAAGTAGATGTAGCATAATTCTTAAGGGCCCTAGGACTTCTGAAATGGTAAATGATCAGTAGCTTCAACTTAAAGTCACTACCTGCATTAGACCTTTACCAAGAGAGTCAGCCTGTGGCTATGAGAGTCTTAGATGACATCTTATTCCAATACAAGGCTGTTTAATCTGCACTGAAACTATTGTTTGATATAATCACCTAGATCAATAACTTGTTGCAGTTTCTCCATCAGTACTTGCTGCTTTGCTTTGTACTTTTATGTAATGGAAATGACTTCTTTCCTTAAATCTCATGAACCAACCTCTGCTAACTTCAGACTTTCCTTTTGCAACTTCCTCACTGTTCTAAGCTTTTACAGAAATGGAGAGAGTTAGGGCCTTGTTCTGGATTGGGCTTTGGCTAATGGGAATGTTGTAGCTAGTCTCATCTACCCAGACCACCAAAACTTCTTATCAGCAATAAGGCTGTTTTGCTTTCTTTTCATTTGTGGTTCCCTGGAATAGCTTTGTTAATATTTCGCTTTCTTTTCATTTGTGGTTTCCTGGAATAGCATTGTTAATAGCCTTCAAGAACTTTTCCTTGGCTGTTTGGTACAAGAGACTTAGCTTTCATCCTATCTTGGCTTTTCCTGTGCCTTCTTCACTATGCTTAATCATGTCTAGCTTTTGATGTAAAGTGAGAGACATGCAACTTTTCCTTGTACTTGAACACTTAGAGTGCATTGTAAGTTTATTAAGCGGCCTTATTTCAGTATTATTGTGTCGGGATAGGGATGCCTGAGGAGGGGCAGAGAGACAGGTAAACCGTTGGTGGATTAGTCAGAACACATACAACATTTTAATTGATTAAGTTGGCCATCATATATGAGTGTGGTTTGTGGCTCTCCTGATTACAAAACTAACATTAAAAATCACTGATCGGCCGGCCGCAGTGGCTCACGCCTGTAATCCCAGCACTTTGGGAGGCCGAGGCGGGTGGATCACGAGGTCAGGCGATCGAGACCATCCTGGTCAACATGGTGAAACCCCGTCTCTACTAAAAATACAAAAAATTAGCTGGGCATGGTGGCGCGTGCCTGTAATCCCAGCTACTCAGGAGGCTGAGGCAGGAGAATTGCCTGAACCCAGGAGGTGGAGGTTGCAGTGAGCCAAGATCGTGCCATTGCACTCCAGCCTGGGTAACAAGAGCGAAACTCCTTCTCAAAAAAAAAAAAAAAAAAAAAAAAAAAATCACTGATCACAGATCATCATAACAGATAAAATAATAATAAAAAAGTTTGAAATAGTATGTGAATTACTAAAATGTGACACAAAGACATGGAGTGAACGCATGCTGTTGGAAAAATGGTCCCAGTAGACTTGACTGGGTGCAGGGTTGCCATAAACCTTCATTCTGTAAAAAAAAAAAAAAAAAAATGCAGTGTGTGTAAGGTACAATAAAATGAGGTATGCCTATAGTATTAAATAAGGAATATGGTTTCTTACATAACTGGCAGGTGTCTGTCCTCCTGGTTTATAAAATAGTGGCAAAACCAAGAGTAGGTTATTACAAGTGCTATAGATGTTACAAATAGGAAAGAGTGGACCGTGAAGTATTTACAGGAGACTTAACCTGGTTTGTGAGCTTAAAGGGGAGACTGAAGTTGAATTGGTAGTCCCAAAATCTCACAGTTTTCTAATTATGAGTTTCAAGTGTCTAACAGGGTGAATGATAATTGGAACTGGAAGATAATAGATACATCTAAATTTTTTTTGAGTTTTGTAGTTTTCTTAACTTTTTAGTTATTTTAAAAGTATATACTTGTGAAGAGCTAAGGACAGCCTTTATAGAGTAACACTTGAAGCATTTCCTTCCTAAACAGTAAATAAATTTTTTGATTGTTATTATTAAGGGAAAACTCAGTAAAGTGAAAGCTACTTTGTTGACTGATATCTTTTTAGTCCACGTTATCTCATTGGTTGTCACTTATAAAGAATTTAGGCTTAGCATTTTGTTTTGTTCAAATCTCTTGGTAGTTGGCAGGAATAGAAAGCATGTCTCTTAATCAAATGTTTGAATATCTGTTTTACAGGATTTTCATTTAAGAAGCAATCCAGATTCTCTAAAACCCAAGGTTTCAGGAAAAAAGAAAATATGGGATTTTTAAAGATTCTAACTAGAAAAAGTTGATAAACAGAAATTCTTTGAAAACTTAAAAATTTGGAGTTTCTTATGTAACATTAAACATAGAATGCAGTCTTCTGATCTATTACTGAAAAAAAGAATCTTTCTATCTTGACTCCTTCCCACTTTTTTTTGGAAACTAGGAAGTTGCTATCTGAAACAAGTCATTTACTGTGCTGGATGCTATTCTGTGATTCTTTTATTAACTAGTTTAACCCTCATGATCTTCTCTAAGTTTTATATCATGATGTTCATTTTAAAGATGAAGAGGCTGTGGGGCACAGAGAAGTTAAGTATCTTGGTGACATGCCGAGTAATATAGCTGAAAAGTGATAGATAAAATGTTCACTTGATATTTAGACATACATTATGTCTATAATCATTTTGCATTCTTTTCCTAATATTACTTTACTTTTTGTTTTTCAGGATTTGTTGATGTACCTATTACAGCTGGTCCAGGCTCTCAAATATGAAAATTTTGATGATATAAAAAATGGATTGGAACCTACCAAGAAGGATAGTCAGAGTTCAGTGTCAGAAAATGTGTCAAATTCTGGAATAAATTCTGCAGAAATAGATAGGTATGGATATCCAGGGAGGGCATATTTTCAAATTCATTAATTTTTCCCTTTTCAAATTGTTTTCTCTTTTCCTTTTTTCCTTAGATATATCAAACCCTAGTGTTACTAATTTTGAAGTTTTATTAGTGAATATTGCATGTGTACTCACAGCACACAAATTACTATATTAGGGAGCAGCATTTTGCAGGCTATCAAGTCTGAATATCTGAGTTAAAGTTTTGACTCTGCCACTTATAAGCTGTATAACCTTGTATAAATTACATATTCTCTATATGTCTTCGATTTCTTAAGAGTGTGATAACAATAGTAACTCATCTTTAAAGGTTGTTTAATCATTAAACGAATTGACACTCATAGGAAGCTGTCTAATACATAGTGCTCAGTAAGTGTTAGCTACTATTACTTACTTATGTTAAAATGAAATGGAAGGGGCTAGGCGTGATGGCTCATGCCTGTAATCATAGCACTTTGGGAGGCCAAGGCAGGCAGATCATTTGAGGTCAGGAGTTCAAAGCCAGCCTGGCCAATGGTGAAACCCTGTCTCTACTAAAAATACAAAAAAATTAGTTAGTCATGATGGCGCGCACCTGTGATCCCAGCTGCTCGGGAGGCTGAGGCAGGAGAATTGCTTAAACTCGGGAGGCAGAGGTTGCAGCAAGCCAAGATTGTACCACTGCACTCCATCCTGGGTGACAGAGTGAGACTCTGTCTCAAAAAAAAAAAAAAAAAATGAAATGGAAGGATGGGGCACGCTAGTGAGCTCCAATATTTTAATAAAAAGTTGCATTTTTTAATTAACTGTTTACACTTCATTAGTAGTTATACTAAAGATAGTATCATATTATTTCAATTAAAAGTTAGCTATTAGGAGTTAGCTAAAAGTATAACAATTAGGAGTTTCCAAATGTATATCTAACACTGTACCAGCTGGTCCACACACATCATCTTGTTACAGTTGTTCTCTATGGTAGGTATTCATATCCCTAATTTAGAGATGAAGGATTTAACAAGAAGATAAGTAAATGCCTAAAACCGTATGTATCTTGCAAATGACTAGAATGCAAAACCCACATTTTTTCTACTTTTTGCTTTTCAGAAAATCTTAAAACTTGAAAAAAATAGTAACTAATAAGTGAAAATTCTGAGGTTTTTGTGATATAAAATGGTTTTGTGAAGACCATGAGGTTGTTATTGACAAAACTAGGTCTAGATTTTAGACTTCCTGAATGAGTCCAGTGATTTCATTATTACATAACCTCAAGATTGGATTTTTGAATTTTTGTTTATTATTATGGTTCTGCTATGCTTTATGTTGTGTGTTTTATTTGGAGAAGAACTGAAAAAGAGGAAAAATAATTTTTCTTTCCCTGGCTGCTTTATATTTTTCTGTTTTTAAGAGAAGATGCTGTCTATATTTTCTCCTACTGTATATTGGAGGTCTTCAGTCTCAAGTCATGCTTATTTACTTTCATCCTTGTGCCATGTAGAATGTTTTATGAGTAAAAGTATATTCAGAATCTTATGATGGGGTGAAAACTGTAACTGTCTTTTCCTGCTTAGAGTCTACTAGTTGCTTGTTTTGTGTGATTTTTTTTTTTTGAGACGGAGTTTCGCTCGTTACCCAGGCTGGAGTGCAATGGTGCGATCTTGGCTCACCACAACCTCCACCTCCTGGGTTCAGGCAATTCTCCTGCCTCAGCCTCCTGAGTAGCTGGGATTACAGGAGCCCGCCACGATGCCTAGCTAATTTTTTGTATTTTTAGTAGAGACGGGGTTTCACCATGTTGACCGGGATGGTCTCGATCTCTTGACCTCGTGATCCACCCGCCTCTGCCTCCCAAAGTGCTGGGATTATAGGCGTGAGCCACCACGCCCGGCCTGTGTGATTTTTTTTTTGAAGTTTTTTTGTTTTTAAAGCTTTATTTTCTTTTTAAAAAGATAAAAAAGAGGGAATGTTGGCCAGATATATTTGGGAAATGCTGGTTTGAAGCTAAGTGGACTTAAACAAATAAACAGCACTTATCAAAACCTTTAATATGCAGACTTTCACATAAATCTCCCAAGAGGCATTACCCATAATCTTTGACCATGGCCTTTTTCCAGAGTACAGTGTGGCTCTAGTGTTGCACAGAACACACGTTTGGAAGAGTTGCGTTAACCAGACACAATTGAAGTGAACTGTGCTTAAAAAAATGTGTCTTTTCTTATGGACAGAGTATTTTACATCTCAGTGATCTCTTTTATTATTTTTTTCAGCTCCCAAATTATAACCAGCCCCCTTCCTCCAGTCTCTTCACCTCCTCCTGCATCAAAAACAAAAGAAGTTCCAGATGGCGAAAATCTGGAAGTGAGTACAAAGCTTTTCCAGCTTCCTGTAGGAGAGATCCTACTGCATAAACATTTTATGCTTGTGTTTAAAACCTCAGTTTTGATTAAATAACTAAATGTTACAACTTTATTAAATAACTTACTTTATGATGCATGTTTATGACTTTTTCCTTAAGCATAAAATGCCCGATAGTCCTCAATTTGTTTTATTGGTGCTTTGGGCATATAAATGGATTCATATGCAATATGAAAATAAACAAGGCTTAAATATTTTATTAGGGAAACTCAGAATATTTACTGTCAGTGTATTCATGATCCTTTCTATAATTGTTGTCAGTGCTTGTGATTACATTGTAGAAATGTATGATTTTGATGTTAGAAATAATACACTAAGCAACTTTTTAACTATTCATATAAGAAAGACACATTTTTGAGAGAAAACAGGCCTGTTAGACCAGTATTGCTCTGAACAGTGCTCTGGAAAGTGCATTGCAGAAGCTGATATAGTACATATTTTTAAATTTGTGTATGAGACTTCTAATTTAAAAGAAATCATTAACACCTCTGATGTTGAAAACAAGTAACATATTAGAAAAGTTCATGTGATTTTTCAGTGTGTGTATTTATATTGCATTTAGTCAGATTTTAGGAGTTAATGTTAATAGTGGAAAAAAATTTTAGCTATTATTGATTAAAGTTTGTATGTTTGCATATCTCTTGGTATAACAAACTATTCATATTTAACTGAAATAAGAATTTTTAAATCCCAGAATCATAGAATCCTTAGAAAAGCCCTTTAAGAACCCAATCTACTACAGTCTTAAGTTTTCCCTTTCAAAGCCAAGATATTGATTCATTGATTCAGTTATTCATTCATTCACATATATTTTTTGAGCTCTTAATATGTAGGGGAACTGTTCTACATGTTGGGCTTGATGCAGATGTTACTAAAAAATAACATCCCTCTAAGAGTGAAGCAGGTGAGGGAACAACCTGGGGAAGAGCATTTCAGATAGAGGGAGTAGCAAGTATAGAGATCCTAAGACCAGAGTTTCAGTGTGCGTGTTTGAGGAACAACAGACACTAGTGTGCCTGGTTGGCGGGGGAGTGAGCAAAGAGAACCTGGCAGAAGATTGGATCCAAGAGAGAAGTGGACATCAGTTGTGTAGGGCTTGTAGGCCGTTAGTCTGAGTGAGTTTTCCATGTTGATAGTTTGAACATAGGTGATTTACATTCTAGATGCTGTGAAGTGATTGGATTCTGAAAGCTGTGTTCAGAATATCATTTTACACTCCACCTACCACTCAAAACTTTTAGGCTAAAAATAATGATAGTTTTTATATATTTCTGATATTTCTCTTATGACTGATGAACCTATCTGTTGTTAGTCAATGATTAAGCCATTTAACTTTTTATCTGCTGAATAGTTGTTTTTTTTTTTTTTGAGACGGAGTTTCGCCCTTGTTACCGAGGCTGGAGTGCAATGGCGCGGTCTCGGCTCACCGCAACCTCCGCCTCCTGGGTTCAGGCAATTCTCCTGCCTCAGCCTCCTGAGTAGCTGGGATTACAGGCACGTGCCACCATGCCCAGCTAATTTTTTATATTTTTAGTAGAGACGGGGTTTCACCATGTTGACCAAGATGGTCTCGATCTCTTGACCTCGTGATCCACCCACCTCGGCCTCCCAAAGTGCTGGGATTACAGGCTTGAGCCACCGCGCCCGGCCCTGCTGAATAGTTTTTTAAAGGGTTCAGGTATCCAGAAAAGAGTGGCAATCATTTTGAGATCTTTCAGTCTTCCCCTTATCCCTTCCCCTACTCCCATAGAGTATATTGTACAAGCCATTCTCATCTTAGAACCAAGCTGAATTACCTCTCTTCTTACCACAGCTTAAGATACCAATATCTTCTCCTTGACACCTGAGCAATATCTTACGTCCTTCCTCATTTTAGTCTTGGAGTTGGAGTTTCAGAAGAACATTATATGTCTGGCCAAATGTTTGAAAGGAGTCAGAAACTCAATTATTGCCCAAATATGTCATACTTGATTAATTCCATGGGTTCTTGAAAAGAAGGTGTATTTCCTAGCTGTTGGGTGTAGCATTGTACGTATGTTATTAGAGCAGGCTTATTAATAGTGTTACTGAAATCTACTCATTTCTGTCTTTCTTTCTTTCTTTTTTTTTTTTTTTCATTATCTATGAAAGAATTAGGGTAAAATTCCCCTGTATGTTGGCAGAATTGTTAATTTCTTCTTGTATTTCTGTTAGTGTTTGCTTTAAATATTTGAAGCTCTTTAATTAAGTATGTAAATTGAATCTTTTATCAGTTTGGTAACCCTCTTGATATCTAATAATGCTTTTCATCTTTAAGTCTATATTGTCTGATACTAATAGAGCTTTGTCTTGATTAGTGTTCATGTTGATCTTTTCAATATTTTTGTTGCCTTTGTTGATCTTTTCCTTTGAATTTTTTTAGGGTCTTATATTTTAGGTTTATGTTTATATTTAGGTCTCTTCTAAATACCATGTAGTTAAATTTTGTTTTTAAATCTAGTTTACATTCTGTTTTATAACTGGAACTTTTACCCCACTTGCTTTTATTGTGATTTTAGCTATATTTTGACATTTTACCGTCTTATGTAGTACTTTCTATACTTTCTTATATGTATAAATTAAATGTTCTTGCCTGTCATTGACTAAATTCTCCCTCACTCCACCCCATCTTGTTATTTAACTTTCTCAAGATTTGATAATATTATTGTTATTATTGTATACACTCAGTAAATGAGATACTTTTAGTGAAGGATACTTAACACCTTCCTCACCATTTCTTCTTATGTCTCTGACCTACAATATGTCGTCTTTTTTTTTAAAGCATTTTTTTCTTTAAATTGTTTTAAAATCTTAAAGTATTGATTACTCAAATTGAGTTTTAACGTTTACAGTACATACTTTCTGCTTCACAATTTGTTTAATTCAACTTTATTTATGTTCATAAGTAATTTTTTTTTTTTTTTTTTTGAGACGGAGTTTCACTCTTGTTACCCAGGCTGGAGTGCAATGGCACGATCTCGTCTCACTGCAACCTCTGCCTCCTGGCTTCAGGCAATTCTCCTGCCTCAGCCTCCTGAGTAGCTGAGGGATTACAGGCACGTGCCACCATGCCCAGCTAATTTTTTGTATTTTTAGTAGAGACGGGGTTTCACCATGTTGACAAGGATGGTCTCGATCTCTTGACCTCGTGATCCACCCACCTCAGCCTCCCAAAGTGCTGGGATTACAGGCTTGAGCCACCGCGCCTGGCCCTCTATAAGTAATTTTTATATCAAAAAGGCATAGTATGAAATGAAACGTGTTTTCTATTAAAATATATACATCACTATACAAAAGTATAATGTTCTTGTCATATAGTTAAAAGAGAAACTTTAGGCCTGTATTCTGCCTATTAAACTCATGGATTCAGCTTTACACAATGGCGTTCTGATTGAGGAGTTTTTAAAATTGGATTTTTGTTGCATATTTTAAATGTGCAACTAGCTTTAAAATGGGAGATAAAATTCATACTGAAAGCACAGGCACATCTACTTTGTAATAACAACCTATTATTACTTGGACTTAGCTTAAGAAAGGCCACCTACCTACTGCATTTACTGCATTAAAAGTTCTAATACATCGATCCCTACCCTTTTCATTATTCATCAGCTCTCTTCGGTATTTGCTTTCCTCTGAAGATAGCTTTTATCCCATCGCTGTCATTTTAGTTATTCTTTTATTAGTACCTGCAGTTCCCTTGGCAAAAATATCAACTCTTGATAAGCCTAATTAATTACCCAGTTTTGCTATGCCTGAATATTGCTGAAGAAAAACACATAGCATAGCATGTTGGTGTCACTATAAATTCATGATCACAAACCTCAGATGAGCACTCACTGCTCTCTGCCATCTTACATTTCCCTAGACGTGTTGATCTTCCTGCTCTGCAGTGATTTTTCATACCATTTCCATTCTGTTCTTTATGCCCCACCTCCCAATCTCTAGATGACAATTCTGCCTCATACTTAATGGAAACAATAGAAACCACTAGGTAAGAATGGTCTCTTTCTCATCACCGGTTTTATAGACATGAATCACTCCCCATACTTTTTTTCCGTTTTCTTGCACAGAAGAAACATAACTCCCCTCAAAGATGTGTTATTTTCTTTTCCTGAAAGAAATACTTTCCATACTAAAAATTTAGAAAAACAAACAAAACTCTCCCTTGAGACCACATCCCTTGAAACAGCACCTTGTTTTCTCACTTCCCTTATCAAAGGAGTTGTTTATACATATTCTTTTCTTCCTTCTTTGCAGTCTTTAATCCACATCATTCTGGCTCTTGCTTAAAACTTAATTTGCTAAGTTACTAAATGACTTTAATGTTTTTGGTTGCACATTCTTTTCAGATTCTTTAGAATATTCAATAAAGTAAATAACTTTCTTTTTGAAAAACTAACTCTTTTCATGGTTTAGATGACACTGTGTGTCTCTTATTTTTCTCTTCATCTCTCTTGCCATTTCTTCTCAGTTTCCTTTGTCAGCACTTTCCCCTCTGCTTGACATCTTCATGTTCCTCAGTGTCCACTGCTAGTTTCATTCGATACTCTTGCCCTGGGTTGTGCTAATAGACTCAAATTTATATTTCTAGCTCAAATCTCTCACCTGAATTTTAGATTCATGTATCCAAACTTGTATTTGGTCTCCATTGTATATCTGACAGGCAGTTTAGACTTAATATTTCAAAATACAACTCTTTCCTCTCACTCTATAGATAGGCAGCTCCTACTCTGAAATTTCCATTTGTGCCATGACAAATCAATCCAGAAATTTGGGAGTTATTATCAATTCCTTTCTTTCCTTCCTACTTCCTCTCCACCAGCAGGTCCTGTTAATTATACTTCCAAGATATTTCTTGTATTTGTCTCCTTTTCACCATCTCTACTCTCATTATTTACTCTTCTAGTCTACTGGAATAGCATCTTAACTGATCTCAGGTCTGTACTTTGCAGGACAACCGGTCATTTTCATAAAATATAAATCACATCATCTCATTCTCCTGTTAAGGTTCTTTGTTGGTTATCCATTGCTTTTAAAATAAAATCCATACTCAATAATAGTGTGACCTTAAAGGTCTCATATACTTTTGACCTTTGCCTATCTTTTCAGTCCGTTTAGTGTTCACTATATTTTATTTACATTACTTAAAATTCCTTGAACAAGCCAGACTTACGGCTTTTTAATGTCATTTTGGTCTTGCCTAAATGTCACGTACCCATTGCTGCCTTTAAAACCTCCCAACCTAAAATAGTTCTATGACCATTTTGCTGTCTCTCTCCTCTACCAAATAGGAAACTCAAGGAGGACAAGGAGTTCTCTGAACTGTGGTATGCTAACCACTTGCATACTGTCTGATTTTAAATGTTATCGAATGTATGTATGTAAGGATAGATAGATGGCAGAAAATCTGATTTGTTGCATAAGATATACAGATGAAACATAGGCAAATGTAGACTTACTTATTTTCCCCCATTAATTGTAGATGGTAAAATATAATACATTTCTTTTAATTCTTTCAGCAAGATCTCTGTACCTTCTTGATATCAAGAGCCTGCAAAAACTCAACACTGGCTAATTATTTATACTGGTATGTAAAAATGATTTTCTGTTTATTTTCTTATTACCCTTAAGAATTATTTTTTCTCATGCTGTAAACACAAAAACAATTTAAAATAATAATTGAGTCATCATCAAAAGTCTAGATACAGTATTTATATCTAGCTGTATTCCATGACAGCTGGGTTCTCGGAAATGCTTGTTGGCACCACTGTTTCTCTCCCTTTCACTAACTTTCCAGGAGCTAAGATATAACTGGAGAGGGAAATGGGTACTTTCAGTTTGCCATGTAAAGTCGTTGAGTATGATATTTTACAGTTCTTCAGGAGTGTATATTTTCACATTATTTACTAAAACATTGGAATCATTTAAAAAGAGAAAGTTGGAATTAAAATTACCTTATGACATTTTACACACAAGGAAACTGAGGCAAGGGCTTGCTGTAGCTGAACTTGGTAGATCTTGATCCAGAACTGAATCATTTGTCTACTGCTTTGACATTTTCAAGGTACTTTCAGTGCTTTTCTAATTTGTTTCTGTGAAGTTAAATTGGCAAGTATAAATATATCTATTTTGCATTAAAGCAATGTCGTGAGTCAGTTGAAGGAAAGAGAGAAACTGAGGAACAGAGTGGCTAACTGACTTCCTGAGACACCTTTATCTGCAACAGAATCCTGAAGAGAAGCAGACAAGTAGCTTAAGCCACAGTCAGAAATATTTTACTTCAATAAAAAAAGTGCTAGGATTAAACACTAGATTAGAGGGCCTTATCTAGTTTTAAAGAGCAAACAAAGGGCAAAGCTAGGTGGATAAGACCTACCTAAAACTTTCTGTACCTTTGGGAGAATCCTTAAAACTACTTAGTCACTTTTTAAATTTCTTGGCATGGGACTTTTTAACTGTAGAAATGATCTGATCTACTCTTACTGCTCAATTTGTAGCCTTAAACAAATTACAAATTAATAGATGTTTATTGTGAAAGCTCACTACAGATTAAGCATCCCAAATCCAAAAATTTGAAATCTGAAATGCTCCGAAATCCAAAACTCTGTGAGGATTGACATGAAGTGAAAAAGAAATGCTCTTTGGAGCCTTTCAGATATTGGATTTTTGAATTTAAGTTGCAAAGTATAATGCAAATATTCAAAAGTCCAAAAACAAAAAACTAGAAATCCAAAACACTTCTGGTTCCAAGCATTTTGTCTAAGAGATGCTAAACCAGTATTTTTGAATAATAATGAAGTATTTTGTTTTTTTGTGAGAAAATTACACAAACTATTTCATTAAGATTGGACTGAGGAAGCTGTCCTAGTGGATCAAATCCAGCCATAACTTCATTCTCCCACTCTCCAAAGGTAATGCTCTGCTGGGTACTGCCCCTGTACCTAAGAAGTAGGTAACTGAATTGGAGCACTCTTTGAACAAACACAGTTTTTGATTTACCTAAACAATAAATATTTGTTTAGTTTAAGCCTTTATGGTTCTCTTTGCAACAAAGAAAAACCATTGTCAACAGTCTTAAATGAATCAGTGATTTTTTTTCCCGCTTTGGAACCTGTGTTTGGTGGTTGATGTTTGTTTTTTTCTGTTGGCCTCTGTAGTGGGAAGAAAAATAGTTTCTCGCTTTTACTTTAGCAGTTTAATATAATATTCATAAAACTGCATTTTCCTCACCTGAAATTTTATTATGTCCTTGAAAATATAGGAAGTTTTGGCTAATTGTTAATCACTATTTTTTCTTTGAAAGATATACTTAGAAATTCTCATCTTGTCAAATTGCTACTAGTTTCTTTAAATGTCACCTTTTGCCGCTAATTTTCTCTGTGTTCCAATCTGAATATTAAGGGTATGTCTATTCACTAGTCTTATGAAAAAAATATTTTCTCATGGAAATTTAAATATTTAAAAGGAAGTGAAGAGAAAAAATACTTGTGGGGTATGTTGCTGAGTTTTTGCATAAGTATTTCTAAACTTCTTAGGTATTTTTAAATTATAATCTTACTTATTTTAAAATCATTTGCAAAGAATTCATTTACAGATATTTTTGTTTTCTTTTAATATTCACAGAAACTTTTCTGTGGCTCAGAATTTATAGTCTATTCACTATTGTAGGAGCTATATTTCTATGTGAAGCTTTCAAGTTACATATTCTTTGTTTTTGATTGTAGACCAGATTTTATTATTAAATTTGAAATGAGTTTTGATAGAATCTTTGATCTCTTATTTTAAGTAGGAAGAATTTTTTGAAAGCAGCCAAACAGTGGGAAAGCTATTAGATGAACAGTTTCCAACATAGCAGCTGTTTCTGTTCGTAAGGAGCACACTTTGTTTCTTCTATAAATAAAGTAGAGCCCCAGTTCCCAGTCTTATAAACATTCAATCAAACTTAGATTTGATTTGTGTTTTCCCGCTATATCTCTGATTCATTGAATCAATAGCATATGCTGTGTCTGTTCATTCCCTAAGGAGTAATTGTTTTTCCCATATTTACAGTCTGTCTATTACATATTCAGAAATACTCATGGGGAGAAAAGCTATTGATGTGTGGACTCTTGCCTTTAATAGACACAGCTTTTGTGAATGTAAGGTAACAATATGGGAAATAATTTCAAATAGTTGCTTTAAAATGATCATTCTTCTTTTCCTTTGAACATATAAAAATAGTAAAATGTAAGAATTTAAATGCCTCTCTAAGCCTACTCTATTATAACAAATGTATTAAAATATAAATTTTAATTGATTGTGCTGTTTCCTTTGAATATTTGAATTTCCTTTTTTCATTTGTTCCCTTTCTGGTGATTTAAACAGGATTCTTGCTGTAGCTAAATCCTTAGGGGCCTATAGTTGTGCCGACAATCCTTTTAAAATGAATAGTGTCAACCTTTTAAGCCACAGAAGGGAGTTACAGTCTCCAGTCTGTAAAATGTTGAGCATCAGAATCTATAAATCGTTGCAGTTTTTTATTTTTATAGCCATTCTAGGATGTTGAAGTTGAAAGTAAACTTTGGATGCTTTGACGTGTTTTCTGTAACTTTTAAGACCTTTCAAGGTAATAAAGGTTATTTACTCCACAAAATAAAATTGCCAGGAGACAGGTAGCCCACTGATGTCATCTTATAATGAGTACCTGGACAATTTTGTTTGCATTCCTACTTTAAGATGACAGCTTTTAAAGAAATACCTTAGAGTGTTTTATAGAATCTAGTTATTGACGTGAACAGAAACCTCAGAAATGATTCAAATCTAGGTCTTCTGGTCTTGATAGCTAACTTTGTCTTTCATATTTGGAGATGACAGTGTCATATTTTTTTTGTTTGTTTGTTTTTAGATGGCCCTGTTCTTTGCATAGAACTTTGGCTTGAAAGATTTTTGAGAAGCACTTGACACTTGCTGCTTATTATGAGCATCAGTGTATATTTTCAATAACAGGAAATAACTGCAGTGATAGTGTTTACTTGGTGGTCAGAAACACCAGGACACAGCAATAGTCCCATACATTGTAGTCATCTGTACGTTCATTTGAAAGTAAGTTTGCTGCATAAACACAGGAAAAGACACTGAAAACCCTAAGGCAGGCGTCCCCAAACTATGGCCCGCGGGCCACATGCGGCCCCCTGAGGCCATTTATCTGGCCCCACGCGGCACTTCAGGAAGGGGCACCTCTTTCATTGGTGGTCAGTGAGAGGAGCACAGTATGTGGTGGCCCTCCAACGGTCTGAGGGACAGTGAACTGGCCCCCTGTGTAAAAAGTTTGGGGACGCCTGCCCTAAGGTGATGGGGACAATCAGGACTTTAACTAAAGGGTAGAAACAGATGGATGGATTTGAATAAGACCATATTGATAGTTTCAGAGTTTAGAACTGCTGCTTTTTGTTTTTTGACATTCTTAGATGTTGTCCTGAAATGACCAGACATTCTGGAATACCATACATAGGAAATATGAACTTGTTTTGTAGTTATTCTTAGTTAATTACCTGGAAATTTCCTGCAGTGACAAAAATGATAGAAATCATTTCCAGTTCTATATATTCAGCTATTGAGAATTTGAAATGTTGATAATTGGGCCAGGCACAGTGGCTTATGCCTGTAATCCTAGTACTTTGGGAGGCCAAAGTGGGCAGATCATGAGGTGAAGATATTGAGACCATTCTGACCAACATGGTGAAACCCTGTCTCTACTAAAAATACAAAAATTAGCTGAGTGTGGTGGCACACACCTGTAATCCCAGCTACTCAGGGGGCTGAGGCAGGGGAATCGCTTGAACCTAGGAAATGGAGGTTACAGTAAGCCAGTATCACACCACTGCACTCTAGCCTGGAGACAGAGCTGAGTCGCTGTCTCAAAAAAAAAAAAAAAAGAAAAAGAAAAATTGGTAATATCACTGAGAAATGTAATTTTGATTTTATTTTAATTTAAATAGTCAAATGTGTCCAGCAGTGGCTCTGAAAGTTCTTTTTTCTTTCTTTCTTTCCTTTTTTTTTCTCCCCCCACCCTCCCCCCGACCTTTTTTTTTTTCCTTCCCTTTCTTTCAGTTCCAGATCCTACTCTGTCACCCAGGTAGGAATGCAGTAATGCGATCACATCTCACCTCACCTTCTAATTTCTGGTCACAAGTGGTCCTCCCACCTCGACTTCTTGAGTAGCTGGGACTGTAGGCATGCACTCGCCATGCCTGGCTAATTTTTAAATTTTTGGTAGACACGAGGTCTCGCTGTCCTTGCCTAGCCTGGTCTCAAACTCTTGGCTTTAAGTGATTCTTCAACCTTGGCCTCCCAAAGTGCTGGGATTATAGGCATGAGTCATTGTGCCCAGTCTGTTCTAATTTCTAAAAGGTGTTCTTGATTCAAAATACAACAGTGTCTTCTGGAATTTTTGATTTACAACTCTTGTTGGGAATATGATATGGTAGATATGATATTATGGGTTCGGCTTTTCATACAACTTTACAGAAAATTCTGGGTTATATGATTCTAGGACTGCTAGAAGATGTTATTGTCATGGTAAAGCATTCCATTAGGAAGCAGGAAGGGGAAGGCCCTTACTTTTATCAACCTTTGAGAGAGACTGTATCAGATGTGTCAGAGGATACTGAAAGTTTTTAAGGTACGGCATCTGGCATCAGTTTCATTAAACCTTTGAAGAAGTGTTAAGTAAGAGTTAAATGTGAAACAGTGACAAGCAGGAAAGGTTATCACCACAAGTTGTGTGAGAAACTATGCCTGTTCTAGGAAACAGAAGGAAGAATTTGTTAGGGTCTATGAAGATACCTGGAATTGAGAGATTGTCAGCTATGCTTGAGGAAAGGGCAGAATATGGAAAGATGGAGAGATGTGAAAGGTATTTCTGGATAGCACTGCAGCATAAGCGAAAGCACACAGTAGGTATCCTTGGAGGAGTGGTAGGGGATCAACCTGACCAGAGTGTGAGTGCATAAATAGGGAATAGTTGAAATTTGAAACCGAAGGGGCCATAGGGGATAGTAGAAATTTGAAACCAAAGGTTAGGGCCATAGAAACTGTTTTAAAATAGTAGAAAAGAGAGAACCATTGATGTTTTTGTTAATATAGATGGGACATGATGAAGCTATTTTAAAGGTGAAAAATTTAGGATGATTGTATTAAACAATATGTAACTTATTTTTGAGTTAGAGAGGCCAGGGAAGTGGTATTGGCATTTTGATTCCAGGTAGGACTGTAGAGTACAGAACCATTTTAAGAGTCATTTAATAGGAAAAATCAGCGAGGTCAGGTGACTGACTGAGTGTGAGTATCTGAGATGGGGGAATGTGAGCTACGTTCGGCTTTAGATGAATGGGTCACAAATTGAACTGATTGCCACAGAGAGTTTTAGGTAGTGCTGTGTTCTCTGGTTTGCCTCCAGCCCCACCTCTCTCTCTCCTTCTATTTAAGTGATTCAAACATGTTTTTCCCGCCTGGCTTTTGAGAAAATTTGAGTTTGTGAACCCTGCTATGTGAGAATTCTTGGTCCAAATGCCTGGGATATTGGTAGTCCCTTCAATAGAGGTAGAAAAAGATCCATTTAATGTGATGTTTGGTTTTCCACATGTTCAGTTAGAAATGACAAGCAGTGTCTTGGAAAGGGGAAGTGGTCTTTGAAAATTAGGGTGTATGAATGTGAAAGCAGGTCACGTAATGGAATTCGAAATTAGAATTCAGATGTAAAAAAGGAATTATATTATATTTGAAAATTATTAATAATGGGATGGTAGCTAAATCCACAAGAGTGGAATTATTCATTAAACAACAGTAATATATTAATAATATATTGAGCATCTATTATGAGCCAGACATGGATGTGTTGGAGGTATAGTGGAGAACAAGACAGGTAAGTTCTCTGCTCTCATGAAGTGACCATCTGAATGGCTAAATACTGAGTATCTTCTGCTCTCATGAAATTGATGGTCTGGAAGGCTGAATACAGAGTCTATTCTTTCCCAGAAATAGTAGAAAGGATAATAATAAGCCTCTGTGACTTGAGATTTGAGATATATTATCAGTTAAGAAGGTTGAAGAGTTTCATACGTGTTTTAAAGATACAACAGTGTGAAAGTCAACTTAGTAAAATCAAAAAAGTCTGACCTGGGAGCCCAAAGTCCTGGATTTCTAGCTCAGCTTTACAATCAGTCATACTACCATAGATAAAACATAGCCTCTCCAAGTGTCACTGTTGATAAAGCAAGCAAGTTGATCGAAATTGATGGTTTTCAAACTACACATTATCATGATCTACTGAAAGCAATTTAAAGTTTCATAGTCTAACATTTGTTATTGAAAGAAAAGTGAAATATACAGAATAGCAAATATTAACATATCGTTCACAGGATATTGCTTTGTGAAACTTTTCAGTTTTATGCATCTGTGTGCATATGTGGCTGTATCAAGTTTTTTTTTCTTTTAATCTTTCCAGCCTCCAGGACTTTATTTTTTTTGTTTTTCTTTTCTTTTTTTCTCAAGTTGTGATACTTTTTTTTTTTTTAAATAAGAGATACCATCTCCCTTTGTTGCCCAAACTGGAGTCCAATGGTATGATCGTAGCTTACTGCAGCTTCACCTGGGCTCAAGCTATCTTCCCGCCTCAGCCTCCCTAGTAGCTGGGGCTATAGGCGGTGTCACCATACCTGGCCTATTTTCATTTATTTATTTTTTTAAATGTAGAGGCTGGTCTCAAACTCCTGACCTCAAGCAATCCTCTTGCCTAGACCTCCCAAAACGCTGGGATTATAGGTGTGTGAGCCACCATGCCCAACTTGTTACTTGTTTTGGTTTGTTCCCAGTGGAACATTTAGAAACACCAGGTTAGAAGACCTGTAAAATCTTACCCCAATCATTTTTATATGATTTTTGTAATTGTATAAGCAGATTAGGTTTAAGGAAACATTTAAGATGTCTTTAACTCTCTAAAACCATAGTTTTTAAATTCGAAAGTTAAAGATTACATATGGATCTTTGAGAAAGAGGAAACTGGATGGGAAAGGACAAATTAAAATTTTATCCATCTTTCAAAAGTATATTAGAGCAGTAATTTCAGCGTGGTTTTCAGAAGAAGAGAATCTTGTGTAATACTGAAGTGTTACACAGATTGTGAAAACCATGGTTTTTGTTCTCAAGTTACTCAGTAAATACGTGAATGTAGATGATTTCTGAAGATGTTAATACTCTGAGTACCTCATAAATAGTAGAAAATGCTTTTGGTGGTAAAAGTTTTAGAAAATTTGAGATATTACACAAATTAAGGCATTGTTATTAGTTTACCTTTTATTGATGGTTGTATGTGTTTGTTGCTCCTTAACTTTTCATTTTTAAAAATGATGATAAAATGTTTTATTACTCCAATTTTATTATTTTTGTATATGTAAATTAATCTGTTTTAGTAAAATGGTATGAGTATTTACCAAATGAATCTGAGTTTCATTTCATATCACATGAATGACTGAAACATATTTTTAAGGTATGTGATAGTAGAATGTGAAGATCAGGATACCCAGCAGAGAGATCCAAAGACCCATGAAATGTACTTGAACGTAATGAGAAGATTCAGCCAAGCGTTGTTGAAGGTAACTATTAAATGTGGGAGTTGGAGAACTGCAGTACATGGGCCTATTCAGCCTATTACGTTTTGGAACATCCCATAAAGTAAGAATGTTTTATATTTATTTAAATTTAATTTTGTTTTTGTGTGTTTGACAGAGTCTTGCTTCATTACACAGGCTGGAGTGCAGTGGTGCCATCTCGGCTCACTGCAACCTCTGCCTCCTGGGTTCAAGAGATTCTCCGGCCTCAGCCTACCAAGTAGTTGGGTTTATAGGTGCCTACCACTGCGCCCAGCTAATTCTTGTATTTTTAGTAGAGACGGGGTTTCGCCATGTTGGGCCAGGCTGTTCTCGAATTCCTGACCTCAGGTGATCCACCTACATCTACCTCCCAAAGTGCTGGGATTACAGGCATGAGCCACCACACCTGGCCTGGTTTTTATATTTTTAAATGGTTGAAAACAAATCAAAAGAAGAATAATTTGTGATACATGAAAATTATGTGGAATTCAAATTTTAGTGTTCATAAATGAATTATTGGAATAGAATGTAGATTTCAAATTTTAGTGTTCATAAATTATTGGAATAGAATCATACTCGTTTTTATATTGTCTATGGCTACTTTTGTACTCAGTAGGAGTTTAATAATTGGAATGAAAACTGTGAGGCCAAGAAGATCTAAAATATTTACTCTTTGACCCTTTACAGAAGTTTATTTGATCCCTGATTTAATGAAATAAATCTATACATGGAATTAAAAAGAATAAAGCTTTGCTTCTTATTTTCCTTTCTATTTTATATCTTTCTTATCAAGGCTATGTACGTTTCCAGAAATCTGACAATGACCATATTGCAGATACTTTTTATATAACGTATTTTTGCTTTTTCAACAGCTTTTAAAAGAGATTTGTCTTTCCTGTGTTCTTTTGATTCTTAAAGCAGTGTCACAGTTCAGCCAGCAGAGGGTGCAAGGGCAGTGAAAAGAAAGCTGCCACACATTAATCTGTGACTTGCTGCAGAAATATTCCATTTCATGTCATCTTTCATCTGTTTCATGTTTTATGCTCTTAAAAATTTAAATCACATCTTATTAAATGCTTTGAGACTAAGCTTTTGTATTCATTCTCAGAGTTTCTCAACATCAAACTGATTGCCAAATAAGCCCTTGGTACTCTCTTCTAATCTCGTTTCTGTCACAGCCTTTGTCACCATGTGAAGACATTTCAGTTTCTTTAAGCCTAAATTTCCTCATCTTCAAAATGAGAATGATAACATTTATCCAGCTTCCCTTACCAGGGTAATTGGGAAGATTAAATTAGAAATATATTTTATAATATTTTATGAACTAGGAATCACGACGTAAGACTGTATAGCATTTAGTTTTTATGACATATTTTAAGCACATATCATGGTGCTATTTGAAGTTGTTGTTTGTTTGTTTGTTTGTTTTTTAAGTTGGTTTTTAGTTTCTTGAAGACTAATGTCTTAGTTTTTGCTATATGTATATGCCCAGCACATTGCTGGATCATAAGCTGTAGGATATTTATTTGCTCAAATAATGAATGAATGTATTTTAGGATAAATACATTCTATCTTGTCACATGGTTTATGTGAATAAAAAATGCTGTTGTAGATAGACCAGTATTTGCTGAAGACTCAGATAATTTTCAGTTATGGATGGAGTGGCGTTTAAGATAAGAGGTTTCTTGTTATTTTTGAATCAAGATCATTAATCTTTTTCAATTTTGCTTTCTATTCAGGTTTACAACTATGAGAAATAGAAATAAAGATTATCCATGCTATTAAAGAAACCCTGACCATTATGCTACATAGAACTAATTTTTCTTACTTTGAACCCTTCAGGGTGATAAGTCTGTCAGAGTTATGCGTTCTTTGCTGGCTGCACAACAGACATTTGTAGATCGGTTGGTGCATCTAATGAAGGCAGTACAACGTGAAAGTGGAAATCGTAAGAAAAAGGTAAGCCTATGGTGTATGCTTTTGTTCATAACTTAATAGCGTCTTGGCATCATAAAATGCTCAACATTTGCTATTGTCTTTTTGGGCTAATATGTGAATTTCTTATGAAATTATAGTAATAGGAATGTTTTGTGAGTTTACATATGTTGATATGATATTTAATCTTCATAATAATCCTAGGAGCTATTATTATCCCAATTTTGAGGAGAAGAAGGCAAAGAGAGGTCAAGTAATTTGTTAATGTCATACTCATATAACTAGTAAATATTGGAGTGGGGATTTGTACTTAGACATTCTTAGTCCACAGTACTTTACCACCTCTCATTTTAGAATCTTAGCAAATTAGAATATACCATATATTTGATATGGAAAGAATCTCTAGAGATCATTTAGACTAGAATTCTTCTGAGAAAATCGGAGTCCAGAGTGACTTGCCCAAGGTTTCAGAACTGATTGTTAGTAACAGCATTAACTTTGTATCTGTTCTTTCCTGGCTAGTACACCAGTCTTTCTCTGAACTATGAGGCTTCCACTTGATGGATAGAAGTAAATGAGTATCTGTTCTTCGTGTCATTTTTTTCTGATCATAGCCTGAATGATATGAAGGATTCACTTGATATCTTTTCCTAATTCCATTAGATAATTAATTGGCAAGTCTTTCTTGGTAACCTTTGTAAAACAACACAACACATTTTACTGTTATTCTTCAGCCTTTTTTTTTTTTTGTGAGACGGAGTTTCACTCTTGTTACCCAGGCTGGAGTGCAATGGCGCGATCTCGGCTCACCGCAACCTCCGCCTCCTGGGTTCAGGCAATTCTCCTGCCTCAGCCTCCTGAGTAGCTGGGATTACAGGCACGTGCCACCATGCCCAGCTAATTTTTTTTTTGTATTTTTAGTATAGACGGGGTTTCACCATGTTGACCAGGTTGGTCTCGATCTCTCGACCTTGTGATCCACCCGCCTCGGCCTCCCAAAGTGCTGGGATTACAGGCTTGAGCCACCGCGCCCGGCTCTTCAGCCTTTTAAAGGAAAGCAGAGAGAGGAGGAAAATATGAAGATTTGAGTCAGTAGTTCAAAGGCAAAGAATCAGATCTAAAGAGAAATGTTAGCAGAGATACGTAGAAGGAATAATGAGTAATGTTTAGCAGGTTAGAGAGGGGAAAGCACTCTGAGAGGATATACGGTTCTGTTGAGTTGGCATTTTATTTGTTGTTGAGAGGAATCATAAACCTTGGTCAAATAAATACATTTCTACTGCTATTCCCCCTGTAGCATCTCTCCCCAGAGGTGCCTGTGTGAGAAGCAGTGTGATCTCCAAATGCCCACCTGTGGAGGGAATGTCTGCTGCTCTGACATGCAGTTTGGGGCTTATATTTGAAACCAGTTTGTTTTAGTGCCAGGAGCTCTTCAATTTAACAGGCACAGGAACCTTGGCAACAACTCAGTTTTAGCTGGCTGACCACCTGTTTGAGACATCACTTAGAGTCCTCCCAAATAAATTTTGTGTTTCTCACATCACACACACACACACACCCCTTTTTTTTTTTTTTGAGACAGAGTCTAGTTTTGTTATCAGGAGTGCAGTGGTGTGATCTCGGCTCACTGCAACCTCCGCCTCCTGGGTTCAAGCAATGCTTCTGCCTCAGCCTCCTGAGTAGCTGGCATTACAGACATGCACTGCCACGCCCAGCTAATTTTTGTATTTTGTATTTTTAGTAGAGATGGGGTTTTACTATGTCGGCCAGGATGGTCTCAGTCTCCTGACGTGGTGATCCGCCCGCCTCGGCCTCCCGGAGTGCTGGGATTACATCACATAACCTATATTTCAAGACAGACCTTTCCAAATATAGTCTCAATATTGGCTAAAAGTCTTTATAGGTATTTTATCATGATATGGTAAAAGACAAACTTAATTTTATTTACATGTATTTACTAGAAACAAGCCCTGGCACAATGAAGAAATGCAGAGATAGCTCTCCTACCATTATTGGCATTAATACTAAGTGAAATGACCACTAATCGTGTAAAATCATATGTAGTACTTTTTCATTCCTCATAATTTATTTGGGAGAGCTATATAAGTTGGTACAATGGTGTTAGATCTGTGGCAGGGTAATCCCTGAATTAAGTATCAAATGAGTGAAAAAAATGATAATATTGTTGTCTTATTTCCTTCTTAGATCTCTAGTTTAGGAAAAATTCTGTTAGAAGAGGTCTGAGTCTACATATTTGAATTCTAACAAAATGCTGTTTTCATCTACTTCTTTTTTTCTTTTTTTGAGAAGGCTGCAGTAAATGCAGTGGCATGATCTCCGTTCACTGCAGCCTCCAACTCCCATGTTCAGCAATTCGCCTGCCTCAGCTTCCCAGGTATCTGGGACTACAGATGTGCACCACCACACATGCTAATTTTTAGTAGAGACAGGGTTTCACCCATGTTGGCCAGGCTGATCTAAAACTGACCTTAAGGGATCTGCCTGCTTTGGCCTCCCAAAGTGCTGGGATTATAGGCATGAGCCACCATGCCTGGCCATCTTTTCAATCTATATTTAAAATAAATTAACACTTTCACTGTTAATATTGTAAGTAGTCTCTTTTCACTTTATGATTCTTTAGGGGATATTACTTATTTATGTGTTCTACAATTATGAAATATATATTGCATACCTACTCTATGCCAAGCCCAGGTTTTGGGATATAGCAGTGAATATAAACATCTCTTCCCTTACGGGAATTACATTCTTATTGAAGAGAGTAAATGCAATAAATAAGTAAAATGTAGATAGTGTTATATGTGATAGATAAAAATAAAACAGTAAGGGGAAATAGGCAGTGCCTGTGTCCAGTAGTAAGGCAGTGTTTCAGTTCTTAATATGGTGGCCAGACAAGGCCTCACTGAGAAATTGACATTTGCACAAAGACCTAAAGCAGGTAAGAGAGCAAGCTGGTTCCAGCCAGAGGAACAGCAGTGCACAGGCCCTCAGGTGGGAGCATGTGTGGCAGTTTTGAGAAATAGGAAGAAGCCCAGTGTATTTGGAGCAGAGGCATTGCATACAGTAATAGGAGATGAGGTTAGAGATAATTGGGAAATGGATGGAATTTATCCTTGTAAATCATTGTAGTCAATATTATTTTGACTGAAACACTGAGTAAGAATAGAAGCTGTTGGAGATTTTGAATAGAAGGGTAACATGAACTGACTTTCATTTTAGCAGCTGCACTCTGGTTGCTTTTGATAAGAAACTAAGAGGGCGAAAAGTTTGAAGAGGAGGAGCAGTCAGGAGGCTGTTGCATTAATCAAGATGAGAAATCATGGTGGTTGGGTTCTTAGGGCTTATAGTGGTAGAGGTGGGAAGAAGTAGCTAGATTTTCCACCCCATTCTTATTTACTTTCTTGTTATTTTATTTTATTTTTTTGATCAGCACATCAACTAGAAATTGGTTAAGATAGGATAACTTTACTCTCAAATTAGTTGGCATTACTTCACATTAGTAGATTGGACCATCCATTTAGTTAAGGAGTAGATTTAGTGATTTTTGTAACACTTATGTAGAAATTCATACCAGTTGATTTTAACTTAAACTTTTCATTATTCAGGAAGAGATTGGATTATTACCGAAGGGAAATAATTGTTTTATGTCTTGGTTGTCCTTGAAACATATTTTTTTTTTTTTTTCTGAACGTCTGTCTTTCACTGATTCCAGAGTTCTTTCCTTTGAGGTATACCCAGCAGCACAAAGCACTTCAACTTCCCAGTGGCGTTATAGTTGAAATGTTTTATGCTGCTGGGATTGTCATGTCCAGTTTTTTATCTTAAAGAACAAACTCCTATTTAGGGGAGCAAGCTCTGCTGCTAAAGATTGCAGTACTCTCCCAGCTTTTAAAGGAAATTGATTGTTCTTTTGAAATTGAATGGAAGGGCTTCTTCTAAATAGTATAGATGTTGCTTAATGATAAAGCTGTTTTATCATGACTTGGATTTCTCAGTTTCTGTAATGTTAGCTTAATGCATTATGTATATGAGCTGAAGAAAATGAATGATGATGATATCTTAGGAAACCTTTGACCATACAGATTCAGTGAAACTTAGAAAGTAGGCTTATAGTTCCAGTTTCCTCTTTAAACTCAAAAAATGCACTGGGGCAGTGTAATGAAAAAACATTTTGCTTAATGTTTGGTCATGCAAAATTAAACATCAAATGAAATTTCAATTTCTCTATGGCTTCACAAATCCTTGGAAACAGAAATTGAATCTTTAGGTCCGATTTGAATAAATTCCTGATAGTTTGTCAGCTTTAGCAAGTGAAATGTATTCTCTATCCTTCCTGTGAAAGTCTAGCTTTTCACAGTCAAGGGATTCCTTCATTTAAAGCATGCTGCTGCTATTGTTAAGTGGATTATGTATAAGTACTTGTCTCTCACATACAGACTATCTCCTTTATATTATATTGGTGCTTTGCAAATATTTTTAAGTTAATGGAATCAATTTTTATGTCTTTACTATATGTTTTATAAACTACTCTTCCATTTTAACCTCATTAATCCTTTCTGATTTGTTCTAGAATGAGAGACTACAGGCATTGCTTGGAGATAATGAAAAGATGAATTTGTCAGACGTGGAACTTATCCCATTGCCTTTAGAACCCCAAGTGAAAATTAGAGGAATAATTCCAGAAACAGCTACACTGTTTAAGGTAATTGTGATGGATATTTAATGTGTATGATTGGAACCTAATTATTAAACTAGATGAGAGATACTACTGTGGAAAATTAATACATTGCAGAGATCATAGCTATAATGCTAGTTGATTTAGTAAATGCTGGATCAAAGGTTACTTTTATTAATCAATGTGTTTTGATTTAAGATTTTTTTTGTTACCAGTACATAGGCATTTTTATATGATATGTGAAACAGTTTTATATCTCTGGGTTGTTTTTTAATATTTAATCTTTTTATTGTTGTATTTTTGTAGTTTGTATCCAGGCTGGTCTCATACTCCTGGTTTCAAGCAGTCTTCCCACTTCAACCTCCCGAAGTGTTGGGATTATAGGCATGTGCCACCATACCCAACATAATATTTAATTTTTTGAGCTAATTGTTAATCAGAGCCATAATTACTTTTCTTTATGTAAACTTTCTTTTTAAAGGGCAAATTGCAAACATATCATGCATTCATTCAGTTCATGAGTTCAGATGGTTAGATATGAGTCCCAGTTGACTTTTATAACGTTTCTCAGTCTGATATCTGTTCCTGTTGAAACTTAAGTTTTTTCTTATATTTTCAAGTGGCAATTATCTTTAGTCCTTGATAGCATACCAGGGTTGGTGTTTTTCCTATTGACTGGCCACCAGTTCAGGTAGAAACAGCTGTTGCAGCTGCCTTCTCTAATCAGGCTCAAAGGGCCAATGGCCTGAGCATCATTATCTGTCAACATCATACTGAAAGATCTTTGTGAGACATGGTGTTTTATGTTTTGTGAGTCTCATGGTAGAAAGGCATAGTTGCGTTGAATATTACTTCGCACGAGTTAAGAAAGGGCTCATAGAACAACAACTAGTATATATATAAAGGGTTGTAATTATAGTAGGAAATAGTTTATATTTTTTAAAGAGGTAAGTTTCAAGGCAATCTAATATTTGATCATGGGTTGCAGCCCAGCTCATACAACTGAAACATAAGTTTCATAAAGCAGTACCTCACCTTAACTGGGTATTAGGGACAGTTAGTTTCTATTATTTTATACATTATTCTGTTGCTTTAATTTTTAAATTTTAAATGTTGTTGGTTAATTAGTTTTAAAACTCACTAACAGATTACAACCTGCAGTTTGAAAAATACTGGTATTATAGTATACAATTTGAAAATAGTGCTATAGGAGATACAATGCAAATATTTCTTAGTCTATGGTTGCAGTCTACAGGAGACTGAAATGTAAAAAACTATACACAAAGTAAAAGACATATAACAACTGGCATTCCTTTGGGCTAGAACTCTCAAAGAAGACCAGCTTCTAGTATTCTTGAATGCTAAGAACTCATCAAGAACAGTGAATTGCCGGGCGCGGTGGTGGCTCAAGCCTGTAATCCCAGCACTTTGGGAGGCTGAGGCGGGTGGATCACGAGGTCAAGAGATCGAGACCATCCTGGTCAACATGGTGAAACCCCGTCTCTACTAAAAATACAAAAAATTAGCTGGGCATGGTGGCGCGTGCCTGTAATCCCAGCTACTCAGGAGGCTGAGGCAGGAGAATTGCCTGAACCCAGGAGGCGGAGGCTGCGGTGAGCCGAGATCGTGCCATTGCACTCCAGCCTGGGTAACAAGAGCGAAACTCCGTCTCAAAAAAAAAAAAAGAACAGTGAATTAAAAAAGTAATTTTACCACTTTTTTTTCCCAACTGTGGTGGAAAAGAGTATCTAAGACATATAGCAAGTGTTTTAAGAGTGGTATAATAAGAAAATGTGTCTGCCTCTATTGGTAGGTGTATTCTGGATCCATAGTCTTTTTATTTATAAAATATTATGATTATGTCTTATGGAATGAAATATGGGAGATATTTTTGATCTGAATATTCAGTCTTGATTATGTTTCTTTAAACCCGTAGTATGTGGGTATTCTTAAAAATTTTGTGTTGGAGTTTAGGAATTATGATTCTGAGGCAGTTGCCACATAATATTAGTTACGTAGAATGTCTCTGTGTAGAGTTGCTCCATAACTCTAAGTAATTCATACTCATTTTTGGCTCATGGATGCCTTTGAGAATCTGATGAAAGTCATGGATTATGCACTTTAGAAGATTGCCGATATGCTTACACATACACTGAAATTTCTGCATACACTTGCAAGAGATCTGTAGACTCCTATTGTCCTTGTATAAGTGCCTTAGAGCTGAAAAGACTAAGGACACTTGTTTCTAGTAGTTTTTAAAAGTAATTTTGTAGACCTTAATGTAACAGCCGAAGCTGATAATCATGAGTAGTGGACCCCTTAAGGTACTGGAATGAGTACTAGTTATCCTGTGATTGTCGTCTTGCTTTAAATTTCAGATGAAATCTAAATTAGATGAAGTCTAATTGAATCTGAAAAAGGAAACCACAACAAAGGTTCTCCTGCCTGCCATTTATCTTTAGGAAGATAACTTCCAATTATTCTTGAATTTTTGTGAAGTAGGGCTCAGGGTAATTTATAAAATACGTTTTTACCAGGAGTGATAAAAGGATATTCCAAATTTAAGGAAATTTAAAGTTCAGAATTTTGTTCCAACTAGATTTTGTAAGTTTTAAACATACATTCTCTGAACCATTTTCCATGTTGTTTTTTTCCCAGCATTTTATAGAAAAGTTTTTAAGCATACAGCAAAGCTGAAGGAATTTTACAGTGGATAACTGTGTATACCACTTTAATTCTGTCATTAACATTTTGCCATTTATTTTGTCACATCTCTTCATCCTTTTATAAGATATTTTTTGGACCATTATTTCTCTTGTGTATTACCATTTTATTGTTGTTGTTTTAAAATTTGTTTGACTCATTTGTTTTCTTTGGATTAATGTATTTCACCAAATTTTTTTCTTATATAATTTCTTCTCAATGACCAAACTCAGTAGGATCTCTCAGAACAATTTTCCGATCATTTATCTCCAGAATATCCCTCTTAGCATGCCACTTTCCTGTAAGGTTTTGTTTGATTCCCACTTTCTAAAGAGAATTTAATTTTTTTGTTGATTTAAACATGTACCCAAACTAATTTAGTCAGTCATATAATTAAGGGAAGGACTCTGAGGAAAACATAAAATTATTCCAGAGTAAAAGATAACATATATTTGAGATCTCTCATTTTATAAATGAGGAATTTGAGTCTTAACTCTGCACAACTGGTAATCATTGAGCATCTTTAAACCAAAAATCCAAAATCTGAAACTTTTTGAGTGCTGACATGATGCCACAAGTAGAAAACCCTGCAACTTACTTTATGTCATGCATTACAGTCAAAACGTGGCCAGAATTTTGTTTTATGCACAAAATTACTAAAAATATTGTGTAAAATTACTTTCAGCCTATTTGTATAGGGTGTATATGAAACATAATTGAATTTCAAGTTTAAACTTGGGTCACATCCCCGAAATACTTTATTATGCAAATATTCCAAAATCCGGGAAAGTCCAAAATCCGAAACACTTTCAAGTATTTCTGTTATGGGATATTCAACCTGTAGTATACAGTGCCCTTGACTTTCCATCTGGTACATTGTTATGCTGTACTATTTCACCTTATTTATTCCAATATACATCTAAAAATAAAAATGTTGATATATATGTAGAATGTCTTCTGTATTATGGATGGTGCCAGACTGTTGATCTGTACAATTTCTGAATACCTTAGTAACTCTGCAGAAGAGATGTTATTTTTGTTTTACAGGTGAGGAAACAAGTTAAAGAATACACATAAGACTGTCCAACTAGTACCTGGCAGAGCCTGGAATGTTTCAATCACATGACTAATTGTAGAGTTTGTGCCCCTTTCAGCATGCAGTCTTCTGACTATTAGCTAGTTCATTCTTCTTTCCTGTGTACCCTAATGTATCTCATTGAAAACCCAACTTGTTTTTTAGGTCCTGTTTCCCTGTGTGTTTATCTCGTGTATCAACATTTTCTTGTATGTATAGTAAAGCTTTATGTGTTGATTTGTGCCCAAATTTGAAATCAATATTTTTATTTTCCAGAGTGCCCTTATGCCTGCACAGTTGTTTTTTAAGACAGAAGATGGAGGCAAATATCCAGTTATATTTAAGCATGGAGATGATTTACGTCAAGATCAACTTATTCTTCAAATCATTTCACTCATGGACAAGGTGAATATGACCTTATGTTAATGGGGATCATTTTTTTCTTTTTAGAAGACTGTGGTTTAGTACATTTGCTGTTTATGGAACAGAAGTATTTGTAATATTCAGGTATGATCCTAGAAAGCTCAACAGAGTATGAAGTGTAATACATGTTTTCTATAGTTTTTTTTCCCCTTGATTAAGTTATCTAAATATGGGATTTAGTAGTTTCCTTCCTCTTACACTATTAAGTCTTTTTTTTTTTCTTTTTAATTCCATCTCTGTCCCTAGCATTAAAAAGTACATGTTTGCCCCATTTCCCTTTTCCTGAGCTCTAAAGTATTTTATGTACAGAAAGAACTGCATGAAGTGATAGGAACAAGCCTGTTGTTCACTGAAAATTGATGACAGAGATTTAGAGTAGATGAAAAATTTAGCATCCCGTCATCTAAGTTCTTAATAAATTTAATTTTAATGATCAAAGTTAAATTAATTAATATAAACTTAATTTGGGTTAACTTCCTAAATCTGTATCATATTAAACTGCTATACTATTTGCCCACAAAACTGTTTTTTAAACAATCTTTACATTTGGTTAATTTATTTTACCTTTTGATTAAAAGTTGTTACGGAAAGAAAATCTCGACTTGAAATTGACACCTTATAAAGTGTTAGCCACCAGTACAAAACATGGTGAGTGTATTTTAAATCATTATTGTTTACTTTAGTGTACATTGTGTGTACTTTTTCAAATTGAAAATTGTTGAGTCTGTTAGAGATACAAATAAATTCCATTTGTAGCACTGAAGACAAGTTGAACCTTCCTGCCTGCACCCATTACGTCGTCTTTCCTGTTTGTCAGTACTACTGCTTAATGTAGTTACTGAGAAACAGGATATTTCAGACAATCCTGTGGACACACAGACACACACACACACACACACACACACACACACACACACACGTGCGCATGCACAGTCAGACAGAGCATGTAAGTCCTTTTGAGATGCATAATCTCTGGAAGTTTGGTTGAAGATTTCCTGGGAATGCTTGCCTAATGCTTACTGTAAATTCCATAGTCTTGCTACCTTTCTAGCTTTATACCAGTAGTTACTGAGAAACAAAACATATGCTGTAAATTTCCTATTTTTCCTCTGGCCACTCCCAGATCTTTTTGATGCCCTAATTACTCTTCAAGTGCAAATGTGCATCTTTACTATCCTGCAAAAATTCATTTGTTAGCTTTCATTTTCTCTTGGGACAAAGACCCAGAAAACCTTTACCTAGCTTCTAAGTGTGTGCATAGTGTGACATACCCTATATCTATCTTTCAAGTCTCTTCCTTTTGCCACTCTTCCCCTGCATCCTAGGTTTTAGCCATACTGGCTGCCTTGTTTTATCTAATGCATTGTGCTCTAAGGCCTTCACATACCTGTGATCATTGTCTAAGACATTCTTTGCTCCATGGCCTATTAACTTTATTATCCCTGAAAACATAGCTCAAATGATAGATGTTCTTCAATTCCTACTGTAAGTTACGTCTCCTTACATTACTTCCTTTCATAATACCTTATATTCATAGTATTTATCTCAGCGAAGTTTATAAGCTTTCAGATCCATGTAGACAGTGTCAAGCATCTGTTTTGGCTTACTTGGCAGATTTCTTCCTACATGGTAGAGAAACAATAAATGGTGAATTAGTGCCAGCTATTCTGTATTTATGATGTAAGAATAAATGAGATATTACTTACTCTACAGGAGTATACAGTCTCCTAATTTGCATGCAGTTTATTATCCTGTAAGGCTTACCAGAATCAGATCATGATAGTTTATGATCTTGAAATATTGTTTTCTTCATTCAACTTTTATTTTTTTAACATATCCATTGTTTTATGCTCTGTTGTCTTCAGATTTAGCAGACTGAGTTTTTCTCATTCTCATTCTGACCCCTCTCCCCTCCTTTTTTTTGGGTAGTTTAAGGAATTTACACATCTGTCATTACTAGGAAATGACACAAGATGGAATATTAGACAAAAGGAGCCATTGCATACAGTTTTACATATGGCATTTAGGGTTAGGTGATTGTATTCCACAATTCTAAGTATCTTATGGTGATTTTAAATTTGGAATATTTTAATTGGTACATGTTATAAGTCTACAGAAAGAAGAAATTTTTGATGCTGGATTTAAGAAGCTTAGTCTATTAGTTTTAGCTTCTCATGTTTTATAAGAGAAATTAGCCTAGAGAAACATGCAGACTAAATCAGCTTATTTTTTTTTTTTAAAGTTTTCTAATAGGTACTATAAGATAAATGCCAGTATAAACTTAGTATAGTGTATACATCTTTTTAAGTTGTTCAGATATGGAATGCATTCATTTACAGATGAAGATGATTCTTAACAGAACCTTTATTTTCGTTTCTTAACCAGTAGCTATGTTTAATGCAATGCATACATTTCTGTGTAGGTTTCATGCAGTTTATCCAGTCAGTTCCTGTGGCTGAAGTTCTTGATACAGAGGGAAGCATTCAGGTATGATATCAATAAAGATTTTGCAATTCATGAATATATTCTTGTCATAAAAAAATTCAGTCTTTATAACATAAAGTTAAAAATGAAAGTCTCCTTTTGCCATTTTTCTTTCTTCTAGTTTTTTTCTTCCTTTATTCAAAAGTAAGCATGTTCTCAGTTGAAGATTTTTCCGTTTATTGCATACAGATACTCAGTTCCTTGAACAGTGCATTCATATCAAGGGATCAGACATTAATTGGTGAACACAGCCTGGCCAACATGGTGAAACCCCATCTCCAATAAAAACACAAAACTCAGGCAGGCGCAGTGGCACATACCTATAGTCCCAGATACGTGGGAGGCTAAGGCAGCAGAATTGCTTGACCCTGGGAGGTGGAGGCTGCAGGGAACTTAGATCACATCATTGCACTCCATCCTGGGCGAGAGAGTGAGATTCTGTGTCAAAAAAAAATAAAATAAAAAATTAATTGCTGAAGAAATTAAAATTTGTTAATGTTTATACTTGCATTATTTTCCAAAGTATGGAGATGTTGTAATTTATTTGATATTAATTGATGGGAACTTTGATTATTTCCATCTAGTTTTTGTTACTCGGAACACTGCTATCATGATATTGTTGCTCATCCATCTTTTGTATGATTATTTAAGACCCCTGTCCTTTCCCTCCAACCTGTTGCTCCCGTTTAATACGAGAAAAGGTGAGTGGTTCCTGGGACAAAGAATTGTATATCTTTGAAGTTTTTTTACTCTTTAAATACATGTATTAGTTGTTGTAATATCTTAATGGTTTATTTTTGTATTTTTTAAATATAATTTTTCTATTCCCCCATGTAACAAAAAGGTATGTTTCAAACAAAAATTGATAGACCTGAGATCAAAGATAATACATAGAAGGGCTTGGTAGAGAATATTTGATACAGTGTGTCTTTGCCTTTCCCTATTTCATTGTTACATTCATTCAGTATGAAAGTTAGATTTGTAGGAAATTATTATTCTGAATCTTTTGCAAAGCAGGTGCTTATTCTGTTTTTGATTTGGGGTGCAGTCAGGTGCAGTGGTTAAAAGCTTAGGCAAGACATCAAACTGCCTGGAATTGAATTCCACCTGTGTAACTTTCCAGCTCTGTAACCTTGAGTGAACTGGTTAACTCTTTCTGCAGAGAAGAGTTAACATAGTAGGCCTAAGGTTGCTATCTTTGGAAAGCCCTCCTTGCCAGGAGATTGGTCATTGGCTTTCAGCATGTTCCCTTTGCTTCCTAATTGAGAAGGGTGGTTCACTGTGCCTAGATTCTTTGTTCAAATAATGTGCTTTATACTAAACAACCTGCTTTCCTCCTGAGAGTCTGGAATTTTATAGTTGCTAGACAGAGGGTGCCTGGGTGACCAGTTCTTGATAAAACCTTGGGTTCTAAGCCTCTAATGAGCTTCCCTTGTTAGGAACACTGCACCCATGTTACTGCTTTTTATTTTTTTATCTTTGGCTATTGGAGAAGAGGCTCAGTTTGTCTCTAGATGGATATGAATGAATTTCTCCAGATTTTTTTCTGTATGTGATTTCCATGTTGATTCTATTGTGTATCTTCTCTTTGTAACAAACCTTAGTCATGGTACAACTACATCTTTTGTCTGTAAGACCTTCTAGCAAGTCAAACCTGTCAGTGGTTCTGGGGACCCCTTTAATATACCATTCAAAACACTGTTTTTCCATCTGTAAAATTTGGGTATAACCCATGTTACTCTAGCATTGTTCTGAAGAGGACATGAAGTGTACTTAAAGTTTTTAGCATGGGTCCTAATCGCCATCATTGTTTCACAAGTTTTTGATTATTTGTTGTTTTTGTGTCATAATTTTGTGAAATGGAAACACTAGCAATTTGTAAATTGGTGAACACAATTTACGACAGATTTATAAAATGCAAACAGTTACACCTTAATTCTTGACAGCACATCTGATCTATGTAAGGCATTTAGCTGGGTCCTAGATCATGTTCAGCTTTATTTGGTAATTCAGAGTTGTTTTTTGCTAATTAAAAGTTGTTTTCCAAAATAGTTACACTTCTTGTGTTTCTCCTTACCACCCATCTTTGCCAAATCTTAGTGCTGCCAAACTTCAGACTCTTCTTATCTCATTTTGGTTTGTTTGCATTTCCCTGATTATCCATAAGATTGAACATATGAAAATATGTGTATAGGCCATTTGTTTCTTCTATGAAGTGCTTGTTCACATCCTCCTGTGGCCCATGTTCCTGTTGGGTTGTTTGTGTTTTTATTATTATTTCTAGTCCTAGGAGTTTTTAAAATATATTCCAGATACCAGTCCTTTGTCAGACATACAGGGTATACCAAAAAGGTGAAAACATATGATAAACTTACTTTGTAGTAGGACATTAACTGTGTTTTCAAATAATGTGCTCTGTGGTTGGTTTTTTTTTTTTTTTCTTTTAATCCTTTAAATGTAAAAGAATAGATTAAATTGGTAATCTAGGGGAAAAATATTAGACACAGTTTCTCAACAGAGGAAACTGTTCTAGACTCTGGAAACTCCAGTGTATTTATCGTACTCTTAAAATTGTTTTGTTCAGTCAGCCCCTCTCATACTGTATTTTCATTAAGCTAGACCCTTGTTGGCCATTATTTATAGTTTCAAAACACGTAATTTGTTTATACTTAATTCTTAAACATGTAAGTAATGTCTTTCAGAACTTTTTTAGAAAATATGCACCAAGTGAGAATGGGCCAAATGGAATTAGTGCTGAGGTCATGGACACTTACGTTAAAAGCTGTGGTAAGTTTTTCAGGCTATTACTTTCCATTGATATGTTCAAATAAGAGCAGCCCATCCTGATATTGCCATATGCATATACATTTAGAACATGTTAATACTTAAATGCTCTATAGGAAGAGTAAAAGATAAACGTTGATTAAAGTACTCATTAATGCTTTGACATAATAGTAGTAACAAGGTGTAAATTCTATTTAGTCTTTCAAGAATATATCTTTGCAATCATTAAACTATTTTATAATTATAATTCATCTCTTCCTGGAAGCTGTTAATTTTCCATTAGATGTTCTCTGTTTTTGAATAACAGAAACTAAGTAGATTATGGGAAAAGTATCAATCAGAAATAATTGTGCTTTAGATAAAGTTTAAGAGCTAAGATAATGTTGCTTTATTAAAAGGATGCCTTCATGGTATTTTAGAGTCAGTACTTAAGGTCCGTTCCTAGAAATAAGTAAGCAGTAGTACTATCATCTAGAAATAAATAATAGGTGACATAGGGATTAATTTTTATTCTTCAGTCATTTGTGCCTAACTTCATGAAGCTTATATTCTAAAGGATTTTTTTTTCATTTTGTTTTATTTATTTTTATTTTTATTTCCTGTAGACAGGGTCACACTCTGTCACCCAGGCTGACTGAAGTGCAGTGGCGCAATGATGGCTCACTGCAGCCTCGAACTCCCAGGCTCAGGTGATTCTCCTACCTCAGCCTGCCATGTACCTGGGACTATAGGAGGCATGTGCCACCACACCCGGCTAATTTTTCTTATATTTTTTATAGAGATGGGATTTTGGCATGTTGCCCAGCTGGTTCCAAACTCCTGGGTTCAAATGATCATCTGCCTTGACCTTGCAAAGTGCTGAGATTGCAGGCGTGAACCACCATGCCAGCATGTTTACTTTTTTATTCTTACTTTTAAGGTTTTTTTTTGTTATAACTAGATAGTTTAAGGGAGGATTGATAAAGGAGTTGACACTAGAGTTGATCCCTAAATGACTTAGGGTATATGATATGTTATACCTGTTTTATGTAAGTTCTCTGTTTATGTTTATGTTCATATTTATGCCTATACTTAAGCTGGGAAAGCAAGAAGAGGGCTTTCTAGTTAGCTGTTAAAACTGTATTTAAACTGGCATGTTATTTTGTGGTTTAGATGTTGCTTTCTAATATGTAATATGTTTGCGTTTTTCACAACCCTCCTGTGAAGTCACTTTCCAAATTATATTGGACCTTATTCTCAAATGTATTCTTGATGATACATTGTTGTCTGAAAAGCAGAAAGAAAATGAACTTTGAGAATATGGAAATAAAACTGTGTTTGTATATATTAGAATCCTTTATAGTTTTAATTCTTATTTTTACTATAGGAATGTAAACATATATTACATGTAACTGAATTTGCTCATAAACATAATTACATGCAATATTTTAAAACTTAAAAATGCTGAAGCTTTTGAGAGAAAATCTTTCCCCTTCTGTATTGTTTTGCATGGTACTTTGAGTTTCAAGTGACAGACTCTTCATAAAGATCGCATATTGAGGATTTAGATGAAAAATCAGAGACATTAGAAAACAAATTTATGTTAAAGTCATACAAACTACTTTCATATTCAGTAGAATGTATAACCTGGTTTGCATTTGTTTTCACATGTTTTTTTAACTGTTATTGCAGCTGGATATTGCGTGATCACGTATATACTTGGAGTTGGAGACAGGCACCTGGATAACCTTTTGCTAACAAAAACAGGTAACAGTTGATGGCTGGACATACATTTTATATGCCTGTGGTTTTTACCCTGAATCTATTTGCTAACAAGATAAGTTGCATAAGTGAAGATAAATCAGAGTCTTAAAAATTCCTTTAATGTTACCTTGGGGAAAGTCCTTTCCCTTGTAAGAATTGCTTTAGTAGTAATCCTACAGATGCTCATTTTTCCCGTATTTCTGTACTTGAAATTCATCTTTTTATGCAAAGCCCATAATGTATACAAGCAGCTTAATCTCTTACTGTATAGCTCTAGTTAGATTGTTAAAATGCCCTTTCTCTTAAAAAGTGTGCTTAATTCACTTTAATATCTTTAATTATTTATTTTTCCCCTTGGAGTTCTATGGAATAATCATTCCTGACAACTCGTTAGCCCTATGTATTTATCTTTATGCGTACAACTTCCAGACTTACAGCTTTCTACCTTGGTCTGTTTCATTAACTTCAAATTGAAATATCGAACTCCTTACTTGAAATTCTCATTATATATGGCCAGTTGTAAAAGGTTGTCTCTTTCCTCCGCTACCTGCCTAAATGCTGCTCCTCACCTCATTTTCCCATTTTAACAGATAGCATAATTGTCTACCCAGTTGTTCAAGCTCTGGACCTCAGAGTCCTTAATATGTCTGGTGGCCTTATTTCACATACTGAACCTATTAGCAAATCTTGCCTACTCCTCAACTTCAAAACAGATCATGAAGTTACCCACTGTCTTCATTTTCACTACTTTCACCCCACTTGAAGTGACCAGTATATGTTGCCTAAACAATATGAATGAAATATGAACTCTTTACTGGGGCCTCGTGGCTTGTCCAGGCAGGTCTTTTGTCTCAGTGTCAGACCACCCTTGCCTCAGGCAAGAGCCTTTGTTGTTTTCTCTTTTTGGAAAGTTTTTTTTATTCAGATCTTTGCAGGGCTGACTTCAGTTATTAATTTGAAGTTCTAATGACCTCTCTTTAGAGAAACCCTTTCTAACTCTTTGATCTGTAATAACATATCTACCTGTTCCTCTGAAGCTCTCTACTTACTACTGTTTTGTTTATAGCATTTATCACCAGCTGATTACCTTTTTTGTTTAATTCAACAACTATTTATTGAACACTTAGTAGATGCTGAGAATATCAAAGTTAACAGAACAGACAGAAAGCCTTGCTCTTCTAGAGCTTGTTGAGTGCTTATCATCTCCCATTCGGGATGCAAGTTCCATGAGAGCAGGAACCTCTGTCCGTTGGGGTGACCACCATGCCTCCAGACCTTGAGCAACACCTAGCTAAAGTGTTTTTATATTCAGTTTATAATTATACTATACAAAGACTTTTTATAACATATATAAAATGTAACTTAAAACCGCTTTGAAATAGAGACTCAGTAAAAATGACTAGAAACACAAAATTATTTTATATTCATTTTTAAATTATTGCAAAAAATCATCTGTGTTAGAACTTGCATGTGTGATGTCATGTCTGTGTCAAAGCCAGTCAGTCTCCTTAATAACCAAGACCAAAAGAATATAATCAGATTGTCATGGAGATTCTTGGCTGATTTGCTAATTTCGCAGAGAATATTTATAAAAAATTATGGTGTGTTTGGAGAGAATTATAATTTGGAAGTTTTCATGTGTTATTTTCATTAGTTCTTCTTTATTGGTTGAATCTTTTAACCACAAGAATCAAGCAACCAAAATGATTCCATTTGTTTCTAGGTTGTAATCATTTATAACTACAATGGAATTCTTTAATATAAAAAGTGGTTTTACAACTCTAATGTTATATTCAAAAATTCTACTTGATTCTTTTTTTAAAAGAAATTGATAATCAGATAGTATAAAAGACCTTTTTCTGTTGGACTTTGAAAAGTGCCCTTGTGTGTGTGTGGCGGGGGGCGGGGTGGTATTTAAGAGTTAAGATGGAAAGAAGGAATCTACTACGTAGTATACTTTTTTGGCCCAGTTCTCAGTTATTTTTTAATGGAAATTGAATTCAATTTCAGAAACAGAAGCTTTAAGCTTTTGTTAATAGTTTTCCACTAGAGGGTGCTCCATATTTGCTTTTTAAATACTAAAACTTAACCCTAAAATGTGCATAAATGTAAGATGAACTTTTTTTTCCCTATTAAAACAGCAGTTCATTTTTTCTTAACTGCACTGTAATTATTTCATCCAGTTACACTGTGCAGTTCGCATTTTAAATCTTTCTTACTAGGATACATGTTTTCAAGTTTTTAGTTTTGGTTTGAACGAAATTAGATTCTGTAAGGAGAGACCGAGTATTGTCAAGACAAATAGAAGTGTAATGCATTCCTCAACTTGTAACAATTTATAATAATTAATTTAAAAATGTTGTGTTTCTAGTCACTTTTACTGAGTGTCTATTTCAAAGTGGTTTTAAGTTACATTTTATATATGTTATTAAAAGCCGTTGTATAGTTCAAAGTGAATTTTGAATGTGGTTCATTGCAGGAAATACATTTCAATGTTTTTAGTTTAAAAATGCCTCGACTCTCATGAAGAATTGGCCATTGTATATTTTGAGTTCATTATGCCTTCAAATTGAAAACTCTCAGTTCTTTTACATAACTGTCCAGTCTTTCAGTGGCTGATGAAGCGTTTTTTAAAATATATCGAATAACATTTTTCTTATTCTGCCAAATAAGACACCTTTGTTTTTTGTTCTCATTTGCCAGCCTGAGCAGGTTAAGTCTAAGATTCTGCTTTAGATTAAAGTGGTCTTGAATTGTAATCAGACTTCCACTGTATCGTCTGTGTCTAGTTCTTTGATATGGAGGATAGAGCAGAAGAAGGAGACATACAGGTTTTATTTCACTGATATTTTGGGGGGAATTAGCCTAGACAAACTATGGATGAAATAGAAAATGATCCAGCTAAGAACTCTGGGCATGTGAAAGAAAATGATTCACTGCACATAGAGAATGTCAAAATCTACACAAGAGTAATCTTCTGAAATGCAAAATATTAGTCCCAATTATGGATTTCCCAGACATTTTTTTGGCTCGTGCTTTTTGTTTGAATATTTAGCTTAGTTGAAGTTTACACAACTTGTGCAGCAGAGGGCGCTGTGTATCCATCATAAATGTAAAAGTATAGTGATTCTATTGTCGGTTTATTGTCAGGTGATTATAACGCTGTTTTCTTGAAACAAATTTGGGATGAATGATATTTTACATAGTGCATTACTGTAGATTTTAAAAATTATTACTACTATAGGATTCTTTGGACAAGAAATTACAAAGTTTAAGCTGTGATGTGGTGTTGAAAAAATAATAGACTTTTTATCCCAGAGTTATTGTCCTTAGGAGAAGCTTTAAAAAGCTTACTTAGGGTCTTAGTTGTGGCAGGATTCAAACAAAACACAGTTTGAGTTTATCCTAGCTAAATGGTTAATTTTTTGTTTTTATTTTTGAGAATTTGAGAAAAGGGGAAGCAGTATAACTGAAAAATATGCTCATTGCTTATGATGTACTTTTTAATACAAACAGTATTTGAAATTCATTTGTAAATAACTGAAAAACGTTCACAAAAGTAAACAGAGAACTGGTATTTGTACTAAATGGAAAGTTCATTGTGAGTCCTACGATGGCCCTCCTAATCTTGAGTTGCCATTTGTAAGAGAGGTAGTGGCTTTTTGGTCTGCCTTGCCACTTTAGAGAAATACACTTTGAACCTTTTGTCAGAAAGCTCAAAGTAAAGAAAAATGGTTATTCTTATTATCTTAATTGGACATTTTCTTTCTCAATATAGCTCCTGTAATAATACGGTTCTCTAGAAGGATAGAACTAATGGAAGGTATATCTATAATGTGGGAGTTAATACTGAATAAACTCCCCATATGCGGTATTATTAATTCTGCAAATACAGATTTTGCTGTAAGAATAAATTGTTGTTTGCTACCTTCTTTGTTTCCGGGTTTAGTGGTAGGGCAATAGGAAGGATGTAACATTCACATAAGACCAAAGGCATTTTATAGAAAAATGGTAAATAAATGTCAGATTATATATTAAAAAAATAGAATGGGAAACTCACTGGAGTAGGGTGTCAGGGAAAAATTTCTGGAGTTGGGAATTATATAGAATCTTTAAAAAATAGAGTTTGGATTATAGGGAACAGCAGAAGAAAGTCAAGTAGAAGGGGAGTAAGCAGAGGCATGAAAACAGAATGAATACGGTTTTGACATTGGTCACGTTTAATTACTAGATAAACAAAATGGAAATTTAAAATAAACTTTACCATTAAATACTGCAAAGAGAATAGTGTATATTCTGTTTAATCGAAGAATTACAAATGCCTCGAACTACTGTTTTTTAAGTAAGTTCATGTTATTTACGCAAATCACAGGGAAATTTGATTAGCACCTCTTATTCCCTGTGTTTTTCAGGTTGGGAACAAAAGAAGGTTAACAGCCAGTTTGTTTTATGTATACCTTATTTCTTGACTGTTTAAAGTGATAGATTTGAATAAGATCATACCCTCCGAACCTCTTAAACAATTTTTTTTTTAATTTCATAAGGCATGTATTTTAAACCTTTCAAGTTTCATTTTCAGATATTAAGTTTTTTAAAAAATCCCTTCAGTAGTTATAAAAATGAGTTTTCTTAAAACATTACATTAAAAGCCTCTTTTCAAAATACATGGCTATTTGAACTTGTAAAGCATAATAATGGTTTTATTGTTAGATGCTGAATCTTTTATGCCTCATAAGTAAGTAGTAATCCTCTTCCTTGAGAGTTTTCTGACAAGAAGGATAGAAATACACTCTTCATTTGTAAACAGCCATACAGAGCCAATATTGGAATTCCAGTAATTCCTGTGATGAATGAAGAAACTGTGGTAGGTTTCCTATTAAAAGCATGGAGCCCATTAAATAAACCATGTGTGATGGCAGTTTTGTATCAGAGATTGATCAGATTGACCATCTGTTCAAGTGCGTTGGTAACAAAACATTATTTAAATAATTAAATAAAACCAAGGAAAATTTATCTACACCTGTAATATTGTAAACTTCTCATTTCTTTACCTCTTATGGGGCAAAATAGTGTATATCCAACAAAGTAAAAGATAAATGACAACTTCAGAATGAGAATAAAGTATGAAAAGAATTGCTTAGCTTAGTTGAACAGATGACAGATATTTAGTTGAAGGTGGTAAAATGGTTAACAGAAACTGATCCAGACTTTTCATCAGATCATCGAAAGTTAAAATCGTCACGCCATTGCACTCCAGCCTGGGTAACAAGAGTAAAACTCCGTGTCAAAAAAAAAAAAAAAAAAAAAAAAATCGTAACACAATCCCCTTGAACCTTAAGAGACTATAGGGATGTTGTTTTTCCAGGACCGAAGTTATCAAATTCACTTTTGTAAAACTGGTTCCTCATATTTGTTGAATTATGGACTTTCCTTGGGAATCTGGTGAAGTATATTGATCTCCCCCCCAAAATTAGTTTCATTGTACTTAGAGACCATTGAAGCCCATTTTGGGATTCTGAAAGAGTATTTTTTCAGTCGTAAGTGAATCACAGATTTCTTTTAATGGAAATGAGCCCCCCATGTTGACATTTTAAAATCTTAAATATGTACAACATGAAATCTGACAATTGTGCCTACTCTCATATACTATACAATGAAAACAGATTTATAAATCATTCTATGTTACAGATTAGTAAAATTTGACAATATTAAAATGATAGGTGATATATTATTACAACCAAATTGCTATTTACAGTATGATAAGAATATGGCTTTTTAAATTTTTTCTTTTAAATTTTTTTTTTTGAGTAATGATAATTTAACAGAAGGATTAATCTCAGGAATATTTAATGAAATGATCTTTTACTATATGAAGGGAACTGTGCTTAAACTTTAGCACAAAAAAATTTGCTACAAAATTCTGATTTCTGCTGATAAAAAGTTACCCAGGCTCTGTCTTTGATTCTGAAGACTTAAAAATGGGTTTTAAAATTTTTAGATTACCATTACTTTGACATGATTTTAGGCATAGTTTCATCAGAATGAATGAATTAAAATGAGTTAAATATGTTCCGAAGGCCACTCTCAAACCTGCAGTTAGAAATAGCAAAGAATTTAATAGGCTTCATCATGAACTAATATTCTTTATGAAGAGACACTGTTTATACCAGTTGTGTGATAATATCCCCTACCCAGTTCTTTAAGAAAATTCCGGAAACAAATGAATTTCTTTTCAACATCCAGGCAAACTATTCCACATAGACTTTGGATATATTTTGGGTCGGGATCCGAAGCCTCTCCCTCCTCCAATGAAGCTGAATAAAGAAATGGTAGAAGGAATGGGGGGCACACAGAGTGAGCAGTACCAAGAGTTCCGTAAACAGTGCTACACGGCTTTCCTCCACCTGCGAAGGTAAGTTGATTTGCTTGGTACTGAGAATTTGGGTAAATTTATTTTTATTTTATGGAACAAGAGAAGGAGCTGTTTAAATGTATGCATTCTTTGGCATCAGTCACTTTTTCAAAACGACAAAGGCAACAATATTTCATATTTCACATTCAATACCAATTTTGACAAACTGTCAAATATCAAAGGAAAAAGACATAAACTTTCTTGCTTTCCCACTAACTAGCTCATTGCTAAATCCCACCAGCTAGGAAGCTTGCATCACATAAGATGAAGCAAACATGGAGGCTTCCAACTCAGTGGGTTTATGTCATTTTAGTAAAGTATACTTTGACAGCACTAGGATAGAAAAAAGGTTAAGAAACTTTCTACCATTCAGATCTGGAGACAGTCCTGGAGTATTACAGTCACCTACTAGGTTCTCTTCCTTTTGCCTAGCTGACTACTTCCTATTTCTTTATCAAAGAATGTAGGATACAACATCTTTAGAGTGATATTAGTTCCATCGTTTTTATTCTTTAGCAGCCGTAGTGTTGGGTACTCTTCAGGAATATTCAGAAGTTTGCTCAATGATTGAAGTAAATGTTAAAATGATTTTTATCTCTTTAACACCTCATTCTGTTACAAAGAATCTTTTTTCTCTGCCCTTGTTTCTTCAACACCACTAAATCTGTGCTTCCTTCTTCCTAATTTACTTAGGACTGACTATCATATATAATCAGGAAAAAAATAAAAGTCATTGGTAAATTCAGGACATGGCTCTAAGATTCGTCAAAAATGATAGGATCATTTGACTCTAATGCCATTTTTAGCCCAACTATGCAAAATGAATTTTTCTTAGTCCAGCAGAAAATCCCAGTCCGGGAAACATACATACATGCTCTTGCCGGTGAAAATATAACCAATTGATACCAAGTTGCCAGCACATGTGAGTTCTGTCTCCTTTTTCTTTGTAACCCTTGTAACCTCAATTTCTCATATAGTGTTTTATACATAGGCACTTACTGTATGTTTATTCAGTGAGAACTCTTCGTATTTGTATGAGAACCCTCTGAATTCCTGCTTCAGGTCTAGTGTGAGGCCATGTTCCCAGTTGATGTTGAAGTGCTGGTCCTAGGAGACTGGTTTTCTTACAGTAATCAGGTTTCATTTATGCAATGACTAGGTCTTCATTGTAAACTCAGTCTTTTCCATGTATCACAAAACCCTGTGACAGGCATTTTGCAAATGGCAGCATTATTTATCCTTTGGGTAGCAGAATGGCTGTGTTACTGTCCAGAAATGCTTAAAAAAAATAGTGAGAAAATCATGCTCTTTAGATTTGTTTGTTCATGCAGAAGCACTTTCAGAAAGATGAGAATGCCATTTAATATCTGGGATTTTTAATTTAAAATAGTCAAAGCCCATAGAAAACTAGGTTGAATCGTGAATATCTCAGGGAGGTGGCAGACAAGATGGTAAGGAATGATAACTAAAGAAATGTCAAAGGTGCTATTTTTTTTTAAAGCAGAAGGAAAACAATGTGCTTTATAAACTGTCAGTGGTAGTGGATTAGTAGCAATTCAATAGAATGAGAAAACAGGCAGTTTATTAATGGAGAGCCAATATTGACTTCCTCACTATAAAGAAAAGCCACAGAGAGATTAATCTTAATAATTTTATGCAAAGCTTTAATGAAAACTGTTTAACTTTTTAAAAAGTCCCTGTACTTCACTTAATATTAGCTAGACTCAAATTCTTTAATCAACTTTTGGTTTTTTTGAGAACAATTGTCACTCCATTGCCCAGGTTGGAGTGCAGTGGCATGATCATGGCTCACTGCAGTCTCAATTTACTAGGCTTAGATGATCCTTCCACCTTAACCTCAGAGGTAGCTGGAACTACAGGCATATGCCACCATGCCCAGCTAATATTTTTGAGGTTTTGTTTTTTTTTTTTAATAGAGAACGGGTGGTCGGGGCGGGGAGCGGTGTTGCTATGTTACCCAGTCTGGTCTCAAACTCCAGGGCTCAAGTTATCTACCTGCCTTGGCTTCTAAAAGTGCTGAGATTACAGACATAAGCTACTTCATCTGGCCAACATTTATTTTTTAATGTTGTATTTTAGAGTATGTTTTAGTTGGTTGAAAAAGAATGCCTTCAGAATAAGAATTAATCTGATAGTTGTTTATAGCTAAGGTTATTGACACTTTTATTAGGCTTTGTAGGTATGACCAGCCCTGTTATTTTATGGTTTTTCTTGATAACTGATCAGTTTCTTCACAAAGAAACCACTGAATAACATTGACCACATAAGCAGAGTAGTCCATTTTGAACTAAGTTATAAATGGTTGCAGTTTTGCAGATGTAAGGACGTATTTAATGGTATGGTGCTTTTCATGTAACAAAATATGTTGTCATCTCTTATTATTCAGTGCATCTTGAGTCTTTCTTCAAACCCACATTTATGCCAAACACCATTTTTAGTCACTTATATTACAAGATATTTTTTGTTCATTTGTTGGTAAAAAAATTTCCAATAGTGAAATTAAGAATGCATTTAACTGGCTGGGTGCAGTGACTCACTTCTGTAATCCCAGCACTTTGGGAGGCTGAGGTGGGTGGATCACTTGAGGTAGGGAGTTTGAGACTAGCCCGGCCAACATGGTGAAAAAATGTTCACCACTACTTTAAAAAAGAAATACAAAAATTAGCCAGGAGTGGTGGTGCATGCCTGTAATCCCAGCTACTATGGAGGCTGAGGCACAATAATCACTTTAATTCAAGAGGCAGAGATTATAGTGAGCAAGTCGTGCCACTGAACTCCAACCTGAGGGATAGAGTATGACTGTCTCAAAAAAAAAAAAGAAAGAATGAATGAAATGCATTTAACTGTATCAACTAAGGTTCTCATGTTGTTTCAGAGAAGTTTGCCTAGTCTAGTCATCAAACATCTGTGAATTTGTTGGTCACATACATCATTAACTACATTGCTTCCTCCCTTTGAAGTAGTACGCTTATTAAAGAAAACTTCACAGGACCTCTGATTTTTGTTTCATGGAAAATAGAATGTAGAGGAAATAGTGTATACAGTGTATACACAATAGTATGTTACTATTTCAAAGGTAAGAAATACAGTATTTCTTACAGTACTTCAAAGGTAAGAAATACAGTAAGAACTTCAGTGTAGTTAATGGATTTCAGTTTTCAGTAATGAAGGTTTTTCCTGAAAAATTTAAACCATTCTTTGTATGACTGGAGTGTAACATGATAGCTGGCATGAACATGGGTAAGAGAAAGAGTGCCATTTCCTTGAATGTTACATGCAACTTGCTTTTTAAAAAAAATCCTAATTATATCACATTGCATCTTTCAGTCTTTGCTAGACTAGATTTTAAACATTTTCCCGCCCTTTTTTTTTTTTTTTTTTTTTTTTTTTATCTTAACCTTAGGTTGCTGGCTTGGTGGGGTGTCTTATGCCTGTATCGTAGCACTTTGGGAGGCCAAAGTGGGCAGATCACTTGAGGTCAGAATCGAGACCAGCCTGGCCAAAATGGTGAAACCCCATCTTTACTAAAAATACAAAAATTAGCTGGGTGTGGTAGCATGCGCCTGTAATCCCAGCTACTCAGGAGACTTGCTGGAACCCAGGAGATGGAGGTTGCAGTGAGCTGAGGTGGTGCCACTGTACTCCAATCTGGGTGACAGAACAAGACTTCATCTCAAAAAAAAAAAAAAGTCAAGCAGCCTTTAAATTTATGTTTCTGAGTAGGACATTAAATGATTGCCCTATTTCATAAATACTTGGTATTTTGCTTCACTTGTTGGGTCTTAAATAGAAAATTCAGTTTAATGACAACATGTAAAATATTGATATAGTTAAGGTAGTGACAAATTATTCACAAAGTATTTGGATGTCTAACCTTTATATTTATTTATGTTTCCCTTTGCTATAACAATAGAAGCATGGATGGTTAAATTTAAATCAGGAGATAATCCAGAAAGCGTTAGTATTTACCTTTTTAGTAAGATATATCACGTTCTGCATCCATAAAGGCAGACTTTTAACATTGATTCTGGCTGCCCATTAGATGCACCTGGGGAGCTTGTAGGTGCGGTGGCAAGGGGAAAATTCTGGGCCTCTTCGTTTTGAATTGGTCTGAGATTGGGCTCAGGCATTGATAACGTTTGAAAAGTTTCCCAGGTGAATCTAATGGGCAGCCAAGTTGGAGAACTTCTAATATGTCTCTTTGAAAATTGACTTTGTATTCTTCTCATTATGTTGCCTTCTGGTAGATTTCCCCATGGCAAGATGGAAAAAAAATTGTGTACGTATATGATCAAAAAGCAGAATACAGATGATGGAGAGTTAGTTGAAAGAGCATCTTTTTTTATAATATGTAACAGCTGACTGTACTCTGCTGCTATCACATTCCTTGCAGCCCTCTCAAGTGGATCATCTCTGTTTCCATAGAGAAGGACTTACCTAACTTGTGGCCCCCAGGCCACAAGCAGCCCAGGACAGCTTTGAATACAGCCAGATACAAATTCATAAACTTTCTTAAAACATGATGAGATTATTTTTTGCAATTTTTTTTTCTTTAGCTCATCAGCTGTCGTTGGTGTTAGTGTATTTGATGTATAACCTAAGAGAATTGTTCTTCCATTGTGGCCCAGGGAAGCCAAAAGATTGACAACTCTGATGTAGAAGCCTCATGATATCATTGTAAAGGGTTTCATTCTGGACCTTTATTTTTTGCACCCCCTCTCCTTACCATTTTCATTCAATCCTGTGATTTTACATATGATCCTAGGCCTGATGACTTTAATATCACTACCTTTCATATCTCCTCTGAGATATATCTGACATCTCTACTAAAAATCTAGTAGGCACCTCAAACTCTACATGTCTAAAACAAAATTCTTGAATCCCTGCCTAACATCCTGTTCCTCCATCATTTAGCCTTTCTTGGTGTATAACACTAGTGTCCCATTAGATTAAATCTTCTGTTTCATTCAGTTCCTCTGTCCTCTCCCTGTGACCTCCATTGAAACCGTCAGCAAGGATCATCTATTTCATCTGCAGAATAAAGCCTTATAGCCCTCATGTTGTTCCCTGTCCACCTGGAAGTCTATTATGTTTTCTCTGCTTCGATTCTTATTCCCTTCAAGATGTCCGGAGTGAACTGCTAGAAATGCCTATCAACATGGGTCACTCCACTCCTTAAACTCAGTTGCTTCTCAGTGCATTTAAAATAAAACCATACCCTCATAAGATGGCTCTTGCTCTCTGACCCATTTTTCTGTTTTGTTTTTTTCTTCCTCTACTTAAATCTTTTAATCAAGCAGACATAAAATTATCATGTTTATCGGTTTACTATATTAATTTCTACCCTCCTCCAGATGTAAACTTCATGAATGTGGGGCCCTTGTTTGTTCATTTCACCACAGTCTGTATCCCTAGTGCCTACAACAGTGGGTTTAGTGAGTACTAAGTAAATGTTTATTGGTTGAATGAATAAAATGACTATATGAGTAGGAATGGAATAACAATTATGATATGCATTTATCAATTCCCACAAAGAAATTAGCAACTTAAAGGCAGGTTACAGCTGTTTAGCTATTATAACTTTTTTTCCCCTAAGAATTTAAGTGGGTTAGGGCCTGATTTGATTGGACTACATCAAGGTAGAAGTTTTTCATTATAGTTCCTCGTGATTTTTATGGGCAATATAAAATTCAGAAATGAGGATAAAATAGATAATTTGAAATGCATATGGATAGTCATTTTTCTAGGCAAGTTCTATTTTCATTGCGATTCAAGTATTAAACAGTTCTTAAGTAACAGTTTGTATTTTATTGTTATTATAGATAGGTAGATAGCTGGAATAAAGATCCTGCATCACCAGCTCTGCCCTTATCCCCTAGAGAAGACAATGAATTACAAGGCACTTGGTTCACATTTTTACTGAAACAGCTAAAAATCTTCATTGCCTAAAACCAATGCTTTTCTTACTCACATTCATCCTGAAGATCAAACCTGAATCTCTTTTTATAAGTGCTAAGGAGGGACCACCAAAAGTATAACCACCCAAAGTGGAGATTTATTTAAACCTTTCCCCACAAAGCCCCACCTCTGGAAATGACCATTCAGAATAGTAACATTTGTTCTTTTTGGAGGAAGAGGGAGAGTTTGAGGATTGGTGAAGAGAAATGGTTAGTTCCTGTTAGAGGCCAGCATACTCCCGAGATAACATTATTTAGATATTTTGCCCATTTTTAATGCAGCAGAGTACTAGCAGTTTTTTCTTTCTTATAGAATTACTTTTATCCAGGTCAGTTATGTAGTTCCTGAAATGATTACTGGTATGTTTGAAGATACTCATGAGTGATTCATCGGACGAGATTATTTTCCTTTCATTCGTTTAGCCATGACACACTGAGGTCGTCTTAAATTAGCAGATTGTCATCTTCACCTAGCAAAAACAGATAGATCTCAATTGTTACAAAATGCGAATTAGACATAAAGTAGATGTTCCTCAGATCCCTTCTAAAAATATGCATACTTACTAAAGAATAAAAAGAATGTCATTATTAGATGATTATTCCAAAAGTCTGTCCCATGGTGTAGGATTTAGAAATGGTGTTATATGAAGACCCCGGAATTAAATATTTGTCAAGGCTTGCATTTTATTGATACCAACTGATGAGTTTTCTACTGGAATAATAGTAATCACTATAAAAATCCAAGTACCACTTCTAGAAGTGTTCTTAATATGAGAAAGAAATGCAGAATTCTAATTGTTACTATTTTTTTTCTTTTTCTGCTCTTCTTTAGGTATTCTAATCTGATCTTAAACTTGTTTTCCTTGATGGTTGATGCAAACATTCCAGATATTGCTCTTGAACCAGATAAAACTGTGAAAAAGGTAATTTTTAACTACATAAATGAAGAGCTTTTCTATATAAATTTTCCATGTTCCAGAAAACAACAACTTCTCAAGTCTCTGCAGCCAGTTTTATCCTCTTCCTTGTTCATGCCTACAGTCACAGGAATAGGTTCCCGTATCTGGAGAGACAGCTTACTACTCCAGCCTTGCAGTCCCAAGGAGAGGAAAGCAGCAGCCCAAAGCTTAAAGTACTGAGCAGAGTTTTCAGCTGTTTTCCATCATAGGGAGGATGTCTTTCTTTCTTTCTTTTCTTTTTTTTTGAGACGGAGTTTCGCTCTTGTTACCCAGGCTGGAGTGCAATGGCACGATCTCGGCTCACCGCAACCTCCGCCTCCTGGGTTCAGGCAATTCTTCTGCCTCAGCCTCCTGAGTAGCTGGGATTACAGGCACGTGCCACCATGCCCAGCTAATTTTTTGTATTTTTAGTAGAGACGGTGTTTCACCATGTTGACCAGGATAGTCTCAATCTCTTGACCTCGTGATCCACCCGTCTCGGCCTCCCAAAGTGCTGGGATTACAGGCTTGAGCCACCGCGCCCGGCGGGAGGATGTATTTCAAAATTGAATTTAGCCACGTTAACTGCTGGCTAGAGTGAATCTTCACAAGAACACAGCAGAATTCAGAGTCTTTCTAATACATCATTTGTAATATCTATTATCTTTTTTCTTTTTTTAAATAACTAGATGTGTGAATAAACAGAAAATGTGACACTTAGCCAATGGGAAAAAACAATCCGTAGAAACACCTGAGAGGACCCATGACCACCAGAAAAGGACTTTAAAACAGCTGTTATGAATGTCCATGCATCTAAGGGAAAATAAATGCATAATTACCGAACAGATAAGACTATCAATAGAGAAATTTAAACTAGGAAGAAAGAACAAAATGAAAATTATAGAAAAAGTACAGTAGCTAAAGTGAAATATTAATTGGGTAGGCTTTACAGCAGATTGGATTATGGCATTAGGAGTCAGTGAACTTAAATCAATAGCAATTATTTAATATACTTCCACACCTTCACTGCCTGTAGAATAACAGCAGTGTTGCTAATCACTGACAAAATATATTAAACTAGATCTTCCCGTATGTCTCTGTGCCTAGAATTTCTCCATACCCCTGCAAAGGACTACTGCAATAGGTCTGTAGTTTCCAAAGATAGGGAGTTTTTTGTTTTAGTTTATATTTAGTTTATAAAATTGTGGTTGATTTACAATAGCATTAAGTATTAGAAAAATTAGGGTATGTATTAAGAATCTTAAGAACCTGGAGGACAGCCTAACATAAGTCAGTAAATTTTATACCAAATAACTTTATATCCAGTTAACCCCTTGTTGTAAAAGATAATATTTTCATGTTTGGTAAATAACATTTTATTTTTATGCCAAGTACGTATCTTCTCTTTGTAACTTAGGCACTTATGTAAGTATGCAAGCTTTCATACATTGGGCTAACGTTTGTTTTGATACTCCTGCTCTGTAGATTTTTCATGTCCTTAAAAATAGTTCCCAAATTGTCAGATATTCTCTCTATAAGTAGAAGTCAAGGAAATAAAAAAATTGAACTCAAGGAATATGTTTGTCATTATCTGAGATCCAGGAATGAGAGAGCTAGTTCACTGAAGATACAGCCTCAGATGTCCCTGCACCAAATTGTTCTTGTCTTCACTTTTTAGCCGCGGCACTCTTGGATCACCTAGCATACCTCCAGTACAGTGAAGAGACAAGAACACTGGGCTGGGGCTCTGGTCCTTTCTTCTTCGTAGCTTTCTACTAGTGAAACTCTGTACTTAAAAGGAAACACTAAATGTGGACCACACTTTATCACCTTGAAAATTTCATTTTCTCCTAGACTGTCTTTGAGAAGTATATGTGGGTTAGTTGCAAGAGAAAGGAGTACTATGTAATGGTTGTGTCTGGTAGTGTGGGATTGTCTGGAATCATGTGCCAGTTAAGGGTCCCTGAGCTGGCTTCATGAATTCTCTGTGCCTCAATTTCTGCATATTATCGATGAGATACTATCTACTGTATGGTTGTGTAGTAAGTCAGAGGAAATGTTGCAGGTATAATAATTGGCATGGTGTTTTGCACAAAGTAGTTCTTCAGTAACATTGACTTTTATGTATACATAAAATATACACACATAGATATAGTAGTTTTTTGAGTACTTAATGCTACTAAAAATTAACTGTAGCTTTAAATAAGATTAAAACATTTTTCTCTTTGGAAATTATAAACCTATTGACATAGTTTTGTACAGGGATATAGGGAAATTCAATAGGAAAGGAAACCTTAGAAAATTACATTTAGTTTATTTTGCCGGTGATTGACATGGTTCCTGTAGTTATGTATGGGAGAATACTAATATAATCTCACCTTGCTCCATCCATTTCACAGGGAATAATAGGGATAAAGTGAAGGAGATTATTAATAAATATGCCACAATTTCCATCTAGTAACTCTGGATTTTAAATTCAAAGAAATAAGGCACCCCTTTATTTAAAAGAGCAGTTTCTCTGTTTGTAAAATGTAGGGCCCTAAGAACAATTTCCTATTTTCTTTTCTTTTTTCTTAAAAACTGTTTACAACCAACAAGAACGGGGTGATATACAGAGCATGTAACAAAAACAGCAAACTCTCACACTCCAAAGAATGGCATTCAGAACTCTGTTAAGTTATAGGTTATTTATTTGCCATAGGAATAGCTCATGTTGCTTAATAATGTCTGCATTGTTGATTCTGTCTGTTAAAAATGTGCCCTGTTTTTCTTCATTATAAAGACTAAGACTGTTATCTTATAGGTTCAGGATAAATTTCGTTTAGACCTGTCGGATGAAGAGGCTGTGCATTACATGCAGAGTCTGATTGATGAAAGTGTCCATGCCCTTTTTGCTGCAGTGGTGGAACAGATTCACAAGTTTGCCCAGGTAAGTTCTCTGAATGCAGGGCATTTTTCTCACCTTCTCCATGTACTGCCTCAGAATCCTTGGTGAGCCATACATTTCTCCTGCCGGTTGGCATCTTTTCTGTTTTTCTGTCAAGCCTTTTTGACATCTCACCAGCCAGCTGAAGTGAATTGTGTTTCACACATTATTAATTCCTAAACGTCTGCTTTTATTAGTCATGACTAACTTCTGGAGCATAGATATTTTCATTCTTTGTAGTCAGTGGTGATTATATATCCATTCTTGAGAATGATTTTGGGTCCAGCAGAGGCCTTGGCAATTGAAATTTGGACACTTGTTTGGTTTTGGTGAATGGTAAAGTGCTGGGAAAGTTTAGAAGCTAAGAAAAGCAGTCCACACCACGCATCAGGACGATCTGTCCATAGACTTACTATTAGCAGTATCTACAGAAGTGAGCGATTACGCTTTCATGGTAAACCTTAGATCTAAAACCCATTTTGATTATGAATTGCATAATAAGGATGACTGAAAATGGTTAGCAGATGGAAAAATTAGGTTGCTTTTTTCTGCATGCCAAAATCCAACCTGTCCTCCAGGAGCACTTTGATTCTTTTTTTTTCTAAATTTTCATAGTATTTTCTACCTTTATTATGACTTGCACTTAGGTTTTGCTTCCTTTTTTTTTCCTTCCCCTCACCTTTTCCCAAGTTAGGTGATGTTTTGCTTTTTTTTTTTTTTTTTTTAATAGGTATTTGGATTCCCTTATAACTCCTCAAATACAGACTTCCTGAAGGCTAGGCCTTGTCTATCAGTCACCTTATATACTTAACAAATATTTAATGTACCTAAAGTAGGTCCTACCTCTAGACATTAGCTTATACTCTTTATCTAGCTCAATAAGAAGTTTTATTTCCCTGAAACCAGTCTTGATCATATTTTTATTAAAAGCGCCACCTCAGGGTCTCCTTCATGGGCCATTAATCCTAACCAATCATTTATTGAGAATAAATTTTGATTCAAATAGTAGGTGACTTGTTAAAGTCAACCAGCTAGCTAATAGTGGATCTTGCTCTACATACAGCAGAGCAGATAATTTTAGAGCTATAAGGAAAAAAAGGCCAGAGAGATATTGTGACTAATTGATATCTGTAACAAACAAGGAACAAAACTAAAACTTCAACCCAAATCTTTTGACTCCATGTTTAATATTTTTTAAACCAGATCTTTTCATTTTCAGTATCTTGTTCATCACTATACTATGTTATGTGTCAGTGAAACTTTTCTTGGGCATGGCCCATCTCTCTGTGTGTATACTTTATTTTTTCTTTTTTTGAGCTCAACTAGTTACAGCGTGGTTGAAGTCAGAAACTCTTAACTTCTTTGCATTTCTATAGCAGGGGATTTACCCATTATAGTTGGTCACTTAACATTTTATCTTAAACCGTCTCTATCTACAAGTGTACAAATATCTCTCATTATGGGGTTTTCCTTAATCCATATTTGTAGATTCTGGTTTTTCTTTTCCTGGGCAATTATAATATATTAATGGAGCTAAAACTCCAAAGTTGAAATTAGTGCTGCTACCTAACACTAATTTCAGTAATTTATAGCCACACAGGCAACTCTAAACTTACCAGCTAAAAAAGCAGTAATGATTTGTTATGTCTTACTTAGGATGCTTCAGTAAGGGATTTAGCTAGAGCCCAGCTATGAGGTTTTTTTTCATTTTCTGTAACGTTAACTAGCTTCACTCCTTCAGCTGTATTCAACTGGTAGTCGGGTTTGCCTTGGAGGTCCAACAAAGCTTCACTCAACAGGTCTGGCAGTTTGGTATTCTCTACATGACTGTCTCTCTCCACTTCCTCTCTCATCATTTCGAACTCCAGCCCAAACTGCTGCTTTACAGCATGGTGACTGATTTCCCCAAGAGTATATGAAGGCAGAAGTGGCAGCCCTCTTAAAATAAGTCTCAAGGGCAGTCCAAATTCACAGGGAGAAAAAGTAGATTTTGCCTCTTGACAGAAGGAGAGGGTTGCATATTTAGAAAAGAGACGAATTAAGTGTGGCATCTTTGAAGACTTAACTGCCACTCAGCTAATGTGCTCCAGCTTAAAATTGAGCCTTCAAGTTCTGTAAAATAAATTAGTGGCATGGTTTATTTTAGTGGTCTAGTTTTGAAATTCTATTGTTGATTTGCATAAGATTCCCGTTTTGCTAGCTGGATCTAAGAATAGAAGGACTATTTTTTTGGATTCTCTATATTAAAGATAGAGGTAAAAAAGAGGTTGGTTAAAAAAAAAAAGTAGTAACATTTAGGGGACCTTAGTATTATTTATAGGATCTAGTAATACAAGGACTTTGGTTTACTGAAATCTCTGGGCCTCAGTATTCACACCTGTAAAGTGATTGACATTGAGGATAAAACATCCATTTTTGACATGAATTTAATCTAATGTCAAAGGTTAATAGCTTTACAAAGCTAATGTTGACTACTGCAAGGTTTAGTAAATGAAATCTGCCTCTCCTGTCTCCCCATTGTATGGATGATTAAATTGTTAAAGTTGTTGAGAACTCTGTGAGTTATTGGCATGTACCTATTCTTCTATTCATAGAGAAAATATATGAATGGCAAAACGAATTGGTAAAATTGTGATGAGCCTGCTCTTAAATTAGACATTGGAGGGATCATTTTATACACATTAAATAACAAATGATTATAATTCTTGAGAAACAATATTATGTCTGTTTCCTAGGTTCCTATTTTCTAGTTCTTCATTAAAATAGTAGATAAGATACAGAAATCCTATAATTAACATTACTTTAGCCTTGGTTGTTACAGGCACTTTTGTACTAGGATAGATTCTTGATAACCTTGCTATTCAAGGATATTGCCACATGAAGATAACAGTTAAGAACAAATATCTGAATGATTCTAGCAGTCTAAGGATTAGTATCTTATAATTGTAAAAGTGGAGGTTTATTGCAGCATGAATATCTATGTAGAAGAACTTTTTAGAGATGATTTCTTAGCTCTCCACTTTAAAATGATAGACAGTGTTTGGGACAGTAACAGCTTCGCTGTTTATTGGAATGTATTTCATACAATGCCTCCCCATTTTTAATTAAGTAACCCTTACTGTGATAATACAAATATGTTTTAGTATTATTCCCGTTTCATAAATGAGAAAACTGACCTACATAAAAAGTTTTTTTCAGCTGGGTGCAGTGACTCACACCTATAATCCCAGCACTTTGGAAGGCGAATCACATGGGGTCAGGAGTTTGAAATCAGCCTGACCAAATGGTGAAACTCTGTGTCTACCAAAGTACAAAAACTAGCGAGGCATGGTGGGGGGTGCCTATTATCCCAGCAACTCAGGAGGCTGAGCCAGGAGATTCATTTGAACCCAGGAGGTGGAGGTTGCAGTAAGCTAAGATCACTCCATTGGCCTCTAGCCTGGGCGACAGAGCGAGACTCTGTCTGAATTTAAAAAAAAAAAAAAAAAAAAAAAAAGTTGTTAGTTCTAACTTATCAGACAGATTCAGTTTGTTTGTTTGTTTGTTTGTTTGTTGTTTGTTTACCAGATTTCAACTTATCCAAAGGGATGAACTTGAAAATGTTCATGATACTACTTAGATCTCCTTAAGTATATCATCTGTGCTCCAAAATAAGAGTTACCTGTGGTTGTTTAATTTTATTGCAACTTGATTAGGCACTGAAGCATACATAGAATACTAAATAAGAACTTAGCTTCATACAGATCTTTTCAAATAACAATGATAGAAGCATAGCTATTTCTTAATCTCTGGAGTTTATTTTCTCTTTGAAACTCACATATCTACATATATTGTCTAAGTTTTGATACTAATAAATCACATAGGCACTCAAATTCAGATGCCCAACATCTATTTTTGTCACTCATATCCATTTATTATGATGCAATATTGTTAATTGATTTATGGTAATTTTAGTATGTTCCCATTAATCATTATGGATAGTAGAAACAACCTTTAAAAAATGGGAGTAGATTGATACATACTTACAAGAATAATATTTCAGCATAAAAGAAACAACATTCAAAAAGAAGACTAAGAATTACTAGATACAGCTATTACGTCCAAATGCAACAAAAGTTTGTTTTCTTTCATCATGCAATTCCTTAGAAGGGTAGAGATTAAATACTGCAATATTTATTGCTTAGCAAAAACCCACCTATTAGTAATGTAAATTTTCCACTGGAAAACACTTTTATTTCAGTCATTGTCTTTGAAATTGCATCATTGTAACTATTCTGTTTGCCAAAATGATCTTTTTTGGTGTCTTGTTCTTTTGCCCAGGCTAGAGTGCAGCGGTGCAATCATGGTTCACTGCAGCCTTGACCTCCTGGGCTTGAGTGATCCTCCTGCCTCACCCTCCCCAGTAGCTAGGAATACAGGCATGCACCACCATACCCAGATAATTTTTAGTTTGTTTTTTGTAGAGATGAGGTCTCACTATGTTGTCCAACCTGGTCTTGAACTCCTGGCCTCAAGCGGCTCTCCCATCTTGGCCTCCTGAGTGCTAGGATTATAGGCACGAGCCAATTCTGGCCTTGAAGTGATCTTCACAGTGCTTTCGAGTCTTGTATACATGGGAAAGATAGAGGTCATACAGTTTGAGTCACATAAAATTGCACAAATAGGCCTTCTAGTGGTGATCTCTTACACTGCGGTCCATTTCCTGTTTCTGCTTTTCTCTCTTGTTCTTCCTTTTCATTTATTGATAGCAAAAATCTTGAGAAAGGGCTGTGGTTTCCAGTAATCTTAATACATAATAAATCTATGAATTGGATCTTGGCAGATTAACTAGAGACAGCCATATTTTTGGTTTGTTTTTGTTTTTGGTGGTTTTTTGCAGAATAACTATTAAAAAAGTAATGATAATGAATGGATGGGGTTCAGAAGGTTTACCTAAGTTCCAGATACTAGGAACATAGCACTGCTGTCCATTTAAAGGGAATCCTTACTTCTGCCTGTGGTGT